TTTGCAGCAACAACTGCAGCAGTAACCAGCAACCAGAAACTGCAACAACAACAATGTGTTCGCTAGAGCAACTGTTTCGAGTGAAACTTGAAATTACTATTGATACTGATAGCAGCAGTCGAGGCTGAAGTCGTACTCTACGCCTAGATTGGCTGCATGTTGCCATTGTTGTTGTTGTTGTTGTTGTTGTTGTAGCTGTTGTTGTTGTTGTTTCCGCTCTTGCTGCTGTTGTGGGTATTTGCTTTTAATCTCTGTTCTGTAATGCGTTACGGTAAATATTTTTGCTGTTAAGATCAAAGCTGACCATCAAAAGGTTTTCCTTCAAAGAATTATTTAGTTAATTGAACTGGTAGCGACCTATCGCCTATTGCATTCTAAGTACTTATATAGACGTAGGAAGTGAGTGATCTATGCTCCTAGTATGTGTGCCTTGAGGTTTTTCTCTCCATAAGCAAACAAATACTGACATAGATTCCACTTTCCTTTTAGATCTTCTAAGCTTGAATGTCCCTTTAACTCAGCATATTAATATAACACATTTATAAATTGCTGCTTTTCTATGCTGCCAAAACTTTATATCCCACAAATAAATATTTTTGTATCTTACAAGTAGACACAAACTACAATAGGCAAAAATTTCAAATAATATTCGCTAAGCAATCTTAACTATAAGTACTTAGTCATCGCGCATTTGGCTTTCCAACACCATCTCCAACAAATATTCAGTTGTTGTTAATCAACCAAAGCCAAACACTCGTAAAAACGCGAATATGTTTTGGGCTCTGTATAATAGTATATTTAATAGTATATTGTAATAAAGCTTTTTTTTGTAAATTGGCACAAGCTACATAGTGAAGAACAATGCTGCTGCACCTTAACCCATGCGGGCACCAATTTGCATTGGTCATTAGATTGTCAAGGCTTGGCTCTAGCTCGTAATTCGTAACTCGTAAGCTGCTAGAAATACAGTCGTCAAACATATGTAAGTACAATTGGTATAAACAACCAGTGCTTAATTTGCAAAACGTGAGGCCATTCGGCATATCGGCAACAGCAGCCGGGCAAAGATCAAAACTGCTGGCGATTTAATTTTAAGGGAACTCTTCTTTTTATACTCTGCACCTGAACGGAAAAAGAGTATATTAAGTTTGTGCAAAGTAAAAAGTTGAACAAAAGTATACATATTTTTGATCAGCATGACAAGGCGAGTCAATTTAGTCATGTTTGCTCGTCCGTCCTTATGACTACAAAAGATAGAATCAACATTTTTTACACACAGATGTTTTTTTCTGATGCACCGCCCTAGTATAAGTGATTTTTGATGTCAAGTTTCACCTGGGTATTCACATTTTTATTGGTGCCATGTGTGGTTGTTTTTGGTGTTGGGTTTGAAACCCAAAGGACGTATAATCGATCTATATTTGTAGTATTTGTATTAAGATTTTCCACTTGTTTTAGTGCTAAATCGTTACTGCTGTCGCCGTTTTTGTGGACACTCGCACAACACAATTTATTAGCCACAGCATGGTCATTATTCATGCACTAATTCATTCATTCATTCAATCCAATCGGTAGGTCAGCCGTTCAATCATTTGTGTGAATAGGTCACGTGCTTCATTTGCAGCGCAATGCGCAACACATGCAAGTACGGTAGAAATTATGAAGAACGAACTCAAATATTATTATTAAGGTGTTTCAACTAAACTAAACAGACTCATCCCCTTGGATATAGTGAACCATATTTGCCATTGCGTCGCATCTATCCATTTTGAGAAAGCTACAGTCGTTTATGAAGGCAGTATTAATGATTTTGATATTGTTGTAAATTGTTGGCAATAGATTTCATCAAGGCTCTGGAGTTACATGGGTACCCCAAGCCGGGGCATAAATAAGTGTCAGGACTCATAAAGATAGATCATTGCTAATAGAGATATAAAATCAAGCACTTAAAAGAGGTCCGGAAAATCTAGGTTCAACTGATAAGGCTTTCGGTTTAGAAATTGTCTATAAGCCTAGTTATCTTTTTTAAACGTCCGTAATACACAAGTATTTCTCTTACAAGTTCTATTAAGCTATGATTACTGTAACGCTCCCGCTCTCCTTGTATTTGTACAATAGTGTGTGCAAAGGCCAAAAAGCGCGCGCGCAAACTCTTTTTGTTTAAAGCAAAATATCAACAATTGAACTATAGACATTTGGCCAAATGCGGTGGCTCCATGTACTGTTAAAAAAAAAAAAAAAAAAAAAAAACAAGAAAAGCGACAACCATGAAGCTTTGCGACGTCTAGTCCCAATGCTTGCACAAAACACAGGTTAAAGTTAGCTTTAAGTGTTGCTGCTAAATGCCGTTGCCACTTTTTTTGGCTTTTATGAAGAGGAGAGGACGAACAGATGGTTGTTTTTGCCTCTTTTTTTTCTTTTTTGAAGATTTGTTTTGCAGCGCATCTTGGGGACGCAGTTGAAATAAATGTCAGATGCAAATGTGGCAACAGAGTGCTGAGCTTCTGCTGCTGTTGCCGTCAGTTGCCGGCTTCTAAAATGTTATAAATTCTTGTCAGACTTTGCTTTCTGCTCTGCTTTTTTGCTCTCTTTTACCTTTAGTGCCAGTCATAATTAATAAGCTTAACTTGGCAAACTTGCCGCTTACTTAATTTCAATTTTCACACTATTTTCCCTCCACACGCCCATTTTCACAAGCTTACTGACAAATTAGTGCCTCTGCCTTCATTAAAAAACCATTAGAGCAGCTTGCTACAAAGCTGTGCTTTTCATTAAATCTACCTTCTTTTTGCTATGCAACCGCTTACACCCTCGACCTCTTCGCCCCGCTTTTGCAGTCACTTTGAAAACATAAATTTCTCTACGAAAAATACTTATTACCATGTTCGGTTTTCTATCAGCAGTTCAAAATCAAAGACAACAACAACTGAAGATGTCAGCAACAAACACAATTAGTTTTGACTTTGACTATTGTTGGTCCCTATTGTTTCTTGACGATGTGACCTCCCCCCCTCCCTTCGATTGTTGCAACTTGCATGCATCGCTTGCTGCTGTTGCGTGGGAAATGCCGCCGCTTGTCGCGACCACTAGCAATGACACAGTCCACCCTTCAGTACGGCTAACTAGCCCAGAGTTAGTGAATTCAAGAACTTCCTGGTAATCACCACAAGCTTCTCTTCAAACCCTTTTGAGACTGGAGAATTTTCTAAAACGATCCAATAGGCGAGAGCTAATCAGAAAATTGCGAAATTGCTTAAAAATGTAAATAGTTGCTCTTAAAATGCTAAGCAAGGTGACTAGCCTTTATCTAAGCAATGTTATACAAATTATGGGTTTAATTCAAAAAATGGTTTGTGCTTGAAAAAAAAATATTGAAGAAAAAAAATTCAATCATCTCTGTGCAGTTAACAATACTTCTAACAGTCCTCGGCTCAAACAAATACCGCACATTTTAAATTTTATTTTAATTATAAGTAAATGATATTAAATACGATTATACGTATACCACAAAACATATTTCCCTCCAGCAATATCAATTACCTATCGGGTAAGTAGCGGAGTAAATAGCGATGAAAAAATGTGTCTACCATGCGTACTGAAAGGCAGAAGTTGAGGAAAAACATGCACAAACTTTGATTTTATCTCATTATATGCCAATTGAATGGCTGTTTGTGCCTTTTGCTTAAAGTATTTACCTCATTGTCTGGAACTGATTCGGGCCACTTGACAAATGAGCTGCTGCCTACCATATGCATTTGTTTTCCAAAACCACGACGTCGACGCCAAACAATTTGCGAAGGCAATTTTCAATTTCCACTGGAAAATCAAACAACAAAAGTCTGCGGCACAGAATGATGCCACTTTGACAATTTGTGCCATGAAGTGCATTGATTTAGAAACTACGTCGTTGAGGAAAGCAAAGCAAAATGGCAAGAAAATGGAGCAGTCACTGAGTATAGTTGGCCAAATGGCAGCTGCGGCAGTCAACAAACAAACATACGAGTATGAAAATGACATGGAAAACTAAAAGGCAAAGAAAAGAATTGAAAATAAAAGCGGAGCGCATCAGACAAAAGAAAATTACCAGAAATTGGCGCTATCAAAAAACAACTTGGACCAGAGCAGTACCAAATTGTTTTGGCCAATTTGTTTTTGGGCCAAAATCATAACGCGACCTTCATTGCTGCTGCTGCTAACATTTAAATTTTGCTGCACGTTGATACTAAGTGTTGTACATTTTGTTGCTGCCTTTTTCCTTCGATTGCAACATAAAACGTGCCCAGTTCATTTTTTCTATTTTTTTCTTTGCTCTTGGTATTTCTATCTAACAGTTTGCACGTCTGTCAAATTCAAAATAGTTCAGCAACAAGAGCAACAACACGCTCCAGCAATATAAGTAACAACAGGGGCTTGGCTCGGTGTCCATTACCTAGACAGACGCCCAGTTGGCTCATTGCTGACTTCCTACTGATAGCGACAATGAATAGGCACTTAATAAGTTGTTTCAGAGAGGCTTACAAACTTATTTGAGACTCATTTTAGATTTTTAGGAAGCTGCAGCAGTTAAATTGTAAAAAAAAATCTGTACAGTTCAGAGACTTCTGTTGACTTAATGTCGACTGTAATAAAAGAACTTGGATTTTAGAACTTGTTCTACAAAAAAACACATATGTAAATACAATTGAATGTTTTTAGAAGCAACACAATTTTTGATACTAGTTCAATTTCATTCCTATGACAGCTATATAATATATAGTGAACCCGATTTGAAAAAAATTTCAGAATTTCTTGCTCAGGCTTCGGGCTCAGGCTATAGCTATATTTTAAGTTCAAAGAAAGTGTTTGCAAACCTCACACTTATTTTTGGGGCTTGAGCTTAAGTATTGCTTATGTAATTAAAATAGCTCATTTTTTTAGTAAATAGAGAGTGGTTCTTAGCTTTAGGAACGCATTTTGATTTCATCAAAAAACAAACTCAATTTCTAAATACAATTATAAAATTACGGGGAATAACTTGGTGTGCTTTAATTTCGTTGATTTATATTAAAATTTTATTGAAATAAATAGTTAATCTTTGATAACCTTATTCAAAGATATTTAACCGAATTGGTAACTATACTGCGCACCGGCGCCCCATTGTGGTCGACTATTGCCGTAAGGACCGCCCAAGTGTTGGCCATAATTGCCAAGCGCATCGACCGAGTGTCGTCCATTTCCACTTTGCCAAACGGGCACACGCGTCTGCACGTTCAAGTCAATGCCTTGACGAGGACTGCCACCACCTTGTATAAAAAGATCTGGACGCCGAGGAGGATTTGTGGGAGGTGAGAAATTCAGCTTAGGTTGCTGGCGACGCACACGCTCTAGTGGCTGACTGGATGCCAAGTCGACTGGTTGAAGCTGCCGATAAAAACAGATAAAATGGATTTATATTTGCCTAAGCAAGGACCTTTCTTTCTACTAGGTACTTACCGGTGCTCCACGCTCATAGACAGCCAAATTTACATTGCCTGGATAGGCATAGGCACAGGCGGCGCTAAGGGCCAGGAACAGACAAGTGACACTTAGATGCATTTTGTTTGAGGCACTTTAAAGTACTGTTTAAAAATTCCGCAAGCGCCAACTTTTTATACCTGCGTCTTTAGTTTAGTCAAGCTTATCTCTGAACCGCTGAACATCAAAAAAACCCCCCTGGTATTTTCTTAAAAGAAAGAGAGTGGTTCACGCGTACATCCCCTAGACCATACACGTTCATAATTACGTGTGAGAGTATAAAGATGACTATTCGCCAATATCGCCGGCTGATAAGCAACTGTCTGTATATATGAATGTATAACATGTGTATTTAAAACTGTGTTTTACTATAAGTCGCTTACAATTTTTATAACGCCTACATACAGCCAATGGGATCTTAATTAGAACATACATACTCGACACAACTGCCGCGCATTTTGTAAGAGAAATGCAACAACAATTTTCGCATTTGTATTGTTTTCTATGAAAATTGTCTTCAAGCCAGACGGAAGCTGCTGTTGATTGCAATTAAGTTCCACTTCCATTAAAAGAGTAATTGTTATAGAAACAAAGATAATTTGAAGCATTCGAAATCATCTTCCCTTTTAATCTAATCAAACAATTGGAATCAGATGTGCACTCTCATTTCACACTTTGTTTTCAGAATTTGTAATTTCTTAACATTTCTGTTCGACATTTAGTTAAAAACAGACTGTCAATAGATTACTTGAAAGCTCGACCTATAACTGCTGATAAGAAAGACAACAGCAATGAATCGCAAATGTTAAAGTCGACAGCTGCCTAGAAACTCATCCGAAACGCATTTCATTTCAATTATTAATAACTAGTGGCAGTCAATCAGTCGCATTATCGTTTGTACGCAATAATGTTAATAATTTTAAAGCTTCTCTTTAATATTTATCTATTGGCTTTGATCAATGCACGCTCCATTCCAATTAGCCCATGTCCACAGGTAAGGGAAAAACATTACTTCCTTTAAAGAATTTTTAAATGAAATATCGTGTGTTTTCTAATAGCCAGATACTACAATATTTGTTCTGAAGCCCAATAATGAATACTTTAAGGATGCACCATGTTTTCCTTCAATTCTATAATAACACAGGTTTATTCAAATGAATACTATTTTGAAATAAATAATACAGTTTTCAACTAAAATCTACTACTTGATCGTGGCCAGTGCTTAATAAGCTGCGTATTGAATGATTTTAGCGAACTTATACTTCCTTCTGTTGCTTCATGCTCATGGACAGCGAAATACACATTGCCTGGACAGGCATAGGCACAGGCGGCGCTAAGGACCAGGAACAGACAACTCACACTTAGATGCATTTTGTTAAAGGGGTTTTAAGGTATTGTTTTAAAAGTGCGACAATATATTCATTATACGTGTATGTATGTATATGTAGCTTACATGTTTGCTTGAGCTTATCTCTGCAGATTCTGAAAAAGTCCCCAGCTGGTTTTCCCAGAAAAGAAAGAGACAAAATATAAATATAATACAGAGGCGAGAAATCAGCAACTAATAAGCAAATGTCACGGTAATATACAATATATGAACTCTTAACTAAATGATTAATCTCTTGTTTACGATTCAAACATTTCTATAATGAAATTTAAGTTTTCCAAGTGCCCAAGCTGTTTTTAAACTGTCATCATCTAATAAAAAGAATATATGTACTATATTGGACAGGAAGCTATAATTCATTCGCTCATAATGTTTAATTCAGATTTTCATAAGCAAAAATTGTAATCGAAAATAACTTTTCTTTTATGTAAGGTCTGATATTTATTAAGGGATTTATAAAAACAAGTCGAAACCGATAACCGTTTTTTGCTTGCAAAAGTTTTTTAAATCAATTCATTCTGACTAATTGTTCTCTAGTTTCCTATACTGCAATTTAGAACTAAATGTATTTAGCAAGTCTTGTTAAGTCGACATTACAACCAACACTCCCATTCATCCATCGAGAATTGACTGTAAATTTAAATCACGCTCAGAATTCAAAAATATATAGATTTTAATAATAATTTCAATAAACGAGTACTATCAAATTATAGTATATAACTTGTTTTTACAAATGAGGAAACTTTGGCCATGCGTGAATCATTTTTCAACAATTTTAAATGGTTACGCCCACTGCCAGAGCCTCAGCTTAAATTTCAGTTTCAGTCCCAGTCTCAGTCTCAGAATGAATCTTCGCTTTCGTTGGTATGGCGTAATCGTACGTTTACCTAAATGCGCGTATTTTTTTCCTTACAATTTTATTATTTTTTACTTATTTTGGCAGAGACTGGCGCAGTAATCTTCATGTTTCATGCATGATAAATTTTCATAGACGGTTCTTTGGACAGTTTACGCAATAAATCCAATTAACAAAAAACATATTGTTATTAGCAGTTTTGACGGTATGTTTCATTAAGACATCGTCGTTTTCGTCATCATCATTATCATCATCATCATGGGCATGTACGCTTAATTAGCTAGTAACGTCAAAATTAGTCAAATGTGCGATGTACAATTAGCCGAAGTGCAGGCTCATCAGCGAATTTTTTGGGCACGACCGCAACATCGGCAGAATGCAACCAGTTCCGGGTTTGGTGAACGTGTCCAAGAACAAATACCGACATATATATATAAATTAAATTTGTTTTATTTACAATATACGAATACAATATTTTGTCTTTGGCTTTCATTTAAAATCGAAAAGTGTAAGCACCACCAGCACCCCAACTGGGACGGCTGTTGCCATAGGGACCACCAAAATGTTGTCCATATTGGCCGGTCACGTCGAAGGAGTGGCGACCGTTGTTGCTCTGCCAGACAGGAGCACGTCCTTGCACACTCAAGTCGATGCCTTTGCCTGGACTGCCACCACCTTGCACATTGAGTTGACGACGCACTCGACTCAAAGCCACATCCGCATCCGCATAGTAATCGGGCCCTTCCTGTGGCTCATCGAACTCGTAGGACGATGGATAGGCCAGCACAGCAGAGATGGCAAATAGTAGAATAACAAATGTGGCCTGCATTTTTACTAGTTATTTATGTTGAGAGCAATTCACTGATACACATGCCACCACCGAAGTAGCTTTTATAGCAGAACAATGTTTCAATAAGTAAGGCTACACAATGCAGAAATCCCCGCCTTATCAAGTGATTCCCTCCACACGGGGGTTCCTTTTTGTCTAACTAACTCGTAGCAGCTGCTAACGCTCCCTCAATTCTTGGCGCCTGGGACTCTCAACTTTGACTTTCCATTCTTTTGGCTGCAATCGAAAACTATTTATATTCTTCACAGCTAGTTGCATGCTTGGTTCCTTTTTGCCATTTTGCGGCATTGTTCTTGCCATGACAAATGCAATGCGACCAAAAACTTATATACTAGATATATATGTAGGTCTAGTATATGTATGTGTGATTGTGTATTTGCAGTTGCTTGAAAAATTATTGAAAAGTTCAATTGAACATAAGAAAAATCAATTGTCTGTATTATGCTGTTTCCCAGTTTTTGCTCTGGTTCCTCTATAATAACAATGGGGAAAGTTTTCTGTCACACAAACAAACAAATAAACCAACACACACAGACGCAAACACACATACTTCCACACAAACATGTGCACAAACACGTTGCCAAATGTTTTGTACGTGCCATTTTGACTTTTTGTTTATTTTACATTTATTGCAAGTTTTTTCCTAATAAATACAAATATGAACAAATTCCTTGTTCGTTTTGTATTTTATTCAATTGCCAGATGCTTATCAGTAATTGTATTTTTGTTATTGTGAGCGCAGCTATCAGCAAAACCAGACATAAGAGAATGAAACAAATGAACTTAATTGATTCAAATGTTTGTACAGAAAGCGATTGCAAATAACGAATGTTCTCAGTTCAGCGGCAATAGCGTACGGCCTAGCACGATGAAGCTGCCACAGAGTTCGGTTTTAATTCATATTATAGCCATTTTAGTGTCACTCATATATTTGGTTAGATGATTTGCCGGAAATTCTGGCTCGTTAGTTTAAAATTTACCTTTGCTTCATTACAGACTGCAGCCTATGATTATGGAGAAAATGATGCCACAGCTCCGACAAAATCTTGGTTTCCCGTCTGGGATGATGCACGTGGCGAATGGACCAATGAAGCGGAAGCTGAAGGATAGTTTGTAATAAATTATGCCCTAATTTAAGGGTTTTTCCATTCAAATCTAACTAAACTAAACTAATGTAAATAAATTAAATAGGGAAATAAATAGTCTTTAGAAATTGTATTGAATATATTAATATTTATTTTGCCATTTTAAGCAGTTAAATAATCTAAGTATTAAGTTAAATAGTTTTACAAAATAAATAAAACCAATAAACTTTTAGTGTTATTAATGCATGGAGAGCTTCAAAGCAAATCCTGTAAACTGAGACCATCTTCATTGGGTTCTCTTGCAGCTCGTTGGACAAGTCTCCTTATCGAATTTGGATATTTAATTTGGCTTTCATATTTATGCAAATATCCATTGAACATTTATAGGAGACGCCACCTGCCTTCTACGAAAAACAGTGATTGAATTTAATGTTTGACTCAATGTAACTTACATAATTTCTTTGATGTATTGTCATGATAGAAATTCCTCGAACTGTTGCATGTGTCATGTACTTAATGCAGCGTAGCTATAGCTTGTCTATCAATTTGCCAAGCTTCTTGTTTTGTTTATATTTTTATATACAATTCACAGGGGCTTATCGCAATGCCATCGCTCCAAAGTCAATAACACGACAGAAATATTCTGATTTGCATATATTTTCGTGTTCGTGTCATTTATGATATAATAATATGACGTGCAGCTACCGTTATGATTTCATTATTTATAGTTTTAAATAAACAAAAGTCACTGAACAGCGCGTCGGTAGAAAACAGCATTTAAATTCATTCACTAGATGCATTGAAGCTCGGAGACATTTTTTAAAGCATACTTTTCGACGCAATATTTGAAATTCCAACAAGAATCTGCATAGCGCTGAAAGGTATGCAATAAATGTATGCAGTGCCGTAAAAGGCAACAAATCAGCAGACCAACTTGTTTAGATTATGAATTCCTTCAAAATTCCATTTATTTACAAATCAAATTATATAAGTATAGACAATAAACAAAATTCTCGCACAACAATACAGTATGACTTCGATAGTCCGAACGAATAAGTGTTCAGTAAATGTCCGAAATATCAAAAGTTCCAATGACTTCGTTTTTCTTTGTTACGCTACGTAATTTGTTAAATGAAAAATTGCAGCTGGTTACTATTTTTAACAGCTAACCCAAAAAACTATAAAAACAAAAATCAATTGCACAGTTCATTGGACTTTTATTGCCTGCGCCATTGCTGCCTGGAGTGCGTGTCAGCTCGAAATAATGGCGCCCTATGCTGCACACAATTAGTGGCACTCAATAAATGAATGAAAGAAAGGCAGGCACAAATGCCGCAAATAGGCAATAAAGTATGTATATGGAAATCAGCAGAGGCAGTCAGTCAAGCAAAACTTGTGCCAAATTAGGCGGCCATCATTGTGGCAATTAACAGAGTGGGATCAGCAGCACAACGGGGGTGTCATGTTTGACACGCTTCCAAGTGTTCTTGCTAAAGGCTTTCCACTAAATGTCGATGCCGCATGCAAAAAGTAGGCGGCAGCAGTTGGATAACTTTTGCTTTACGTTCGAAACATTTGCAATTGCATTGCATTTCATTTTGCCGCACTGCTGCAGTTCATTCAGTTCTATTGTATTTTGCAAAGTTTATCGTTCCAAATGGCATCGAATGGTGGCATAGTTTCTTTTGAAATCGAATACACCAGTGTCCTTACAGTTTATTGAGCCGCTGCCAAGTTTCAAGGCGTAATTGCGTTAATTTTGCTTAAATTACATTTCACATTGGCAATTGTTTTCCCTAGAAACACGCCCTACCCTACCCAATTCTGGAATAATTTTACGAGCAGGCTGCACACTTTTCGAAAACTGCCGCGTGGTGTGTTGCGGTCTTGCGTGTCCTTTCGGGACTCATTCCAGACACCATGCAGCTACTCGTGTCCTGCCACGACCGGCTTCTTTGTGCATGTTGACGACATAATTGTTTGCCTTACAATTTATATGAATTATCCAAAGGAGCGTTTGCTGTTGTGGCTGCCAGTTTGTTTAACTGTTGTGGCTCGCTTCGACATGACAAGTGCACTGGATTGCCCCCGTCGCCCCATATTCTTCTTTTCCCATTCCACATAAAGTTCATTGACATGTGCTAGGGTTGGAAATTTTCTAGTTAATTGATGGTATCAGGCAATATTGCTTTGTACCTTTCTACATATATAATTTTTTTCAAACAACCATAACAACATTTTGCCTTTGAATTAGCTTTGGGATAGTGGCTTGCTTAAATGCTATCACTATCGCCGTCGCCACCATTGTCGAGTGGTTTTTCAATGACATCCAACATGTCATTCTCTTCCAGTTCCAGCGAAGTTGCCGTCTCGCTTCCATCGATTGGCCTGCCATCAAAGTAAATGCACACCATATTCTGCCTCAAGCCAAGTTGATCGCAATAGGCATCCACCAATTTACTCATTAGATCATTCTTTTTAACGCAAAAGTTGACGATATCGTGCTTTTGGCTTTGCAACTGCAGCTTTATGAATTCTGGCTCTGGCTCAGGCATTCTAAGGCTATATGTACATGTGTATATATAATTAATAGATAAGTGTGAATTTAACAATTTGGTCGGGGCCTGCCATTGGGCACTGGAAAGTGTATTTCAAAATAGTATTGTTATGTATCGTTCAAAACAAACTAGACATTGATTATATACATTACTGTACAAATTAAAATAAAAATAATCAGTCTTAGCCTATTTTGATATACAAACATTAAATATGATAAGTCATTATAAAAACCTCAAAATATCTTGATAAATTATTTAACTTATTTCATAATAGGTTTTTTTTGCACCAATCTTTACCACACTAATAATAGAATTAAATATGTTTTTCCTTAAACAGAATTATTCTATATCGATCAATTTTTCGATCACGAACATTCCCCTTTTGGCTTGATTTTATAATAGTTTTGATTTTTTTCTTTTATGCACTTCCTTTTATTAGTTTCCTCGTGGGGGATATTATCTTTTCAGTGATCTGATCCATATAGTTCTACGTACTTTAACAATCACAGCGAGAGCGATATAGACAAACAGAGATATTATGTAACGCTCGGTATTGTATGTATTCGGTTCTCTCGCATTCTTAATTCAAGATTAAAATTCAAATATTTTGTTTTATACATACAAAACAAAATTAAGTAATACGGTCCGAATTTTAGACCCCAATTTCCATATTATGTATGTAAAATAATATGAATATAAACATGGTCTGCATATGGATAAGGCAAGTCAACACAAAAAGTTTTGTGTCCCAAGCTGTTTTGGTTCTAATCATCTGAATGTTCATACAGTCAAACAAATTGATAGACGAACATTTCTAAGTATAATCGTTATGCAACGCCTCCGCCTGCTTATGTACTTCTTAATAAGCAATTTCAACATTCGGGTGCAACTTACACTAATTTTATTCATTGTCTAAGCTAACTTTACTTTCTGTACTTTCAGTACAGGCTACGTTGTCACTAACCAGTTTCTTAATGACTTTCAAATTAACTATTTACTTCTATCACCTGTGGCTGTGAACCCTTGTACAAACACTTGCATAGTTTTGTATTCATTTTTTTTTTTTAGTATCAGCAACAATATGCAACACCGATTGCTGATAATAAAATGAACTCTTTGTAGTATTTTGACTTTTGCTCAATTAATGTGATTAAATATTAGTGCTAGCACGGTATATCAAAAATTGCTCCTAAGGAGAAGAGTCAAAAATTGCTTCAAGACTGCATTATAAATATTTAAATGGGCGTATATTTCAAATAGAAAGAAAATTATGGCCCTAAGATCAGGGAATTTTAAATTATTATAGCTGAAGTACTCGTTTATTTCTGCTATTTTCTATTTCCACCTTCTTCTGATTATTGTATAGATTTGTGTGTAGCATGGTTACCCAGCGAGGAGTTCCCAAATATAGAATAGGTAAAAGATAAGTATATACATTGATTTTAGTGTCCATTTTAGAAATAAAAACAGTTTCGAACTGGAACCTTTTGTTTCTTTTGAAAGGCAATCTGCGTGGCACCTATGATACTTACAAATTTATATTATTTAACTAAAGGAACTATTTATTTATGGCTGCATCAGCAACACTTAAACAGATTTCTTGTTCAATAATAAACATGTATGTATATATAGTTTGTCTATAAGTACATACTTATATTGAGCTGAACGATAAGATAATACGTATACGTGTACAGTGGGTAGCTATCAGCATGCCAGCTCTTAAAACAGATAGAATTAAAGATATTTATAGGTTTTCCTAAGCAACGAGGAGTACACGTTGTTGCATTGAATGTTAAAAAGAACTGAGAGTGAAATGTGTGTTTGTTTGCAAGTGTGAGTTTCCAATACACCCACTACAAGTATGTGCGATGAGACACTTTTAAACACATTGGCCGATATGATAGTTATTCGAGTATACCATAATTTTTTAATGTCTGCTACCTCAGATAAAGTCCACAGTCAAGTTGAGCGCTGAGCTGGCCGAACAGTTGGTTTTCGGTGCGTTCGGCGCGCGGTTGTGCATACTCGATAAGCTCTCTTGTCTGTATAGTACAAGTATTTTTGAGCATTTTGGGCAAAATATCAAAAGTGAAACTAATTTAAATTTCACTCAAGTGGGACGACTGGTCATAGCAACGTTATGAAGTGCCTGATAGTATTTGGACTGATTGTCGCGTTTGTTGGCGCCTTTATTGGTTTCGGTTATCTGAAATTTACGGAACTGACACGTCCACTGCCTAAGCCCCAGCTGGATGCAAACAGATATTGGGGACCAGGCGATGGCAAAAACTATGTGCCGGACAAGAAGATCTACGATTTTAATCTGCAGGTGCCTCAGGCGGAAATCGATGATTTGCGGCAGCAGTTGAATCGCACACTGCGCCTGACAGCCCCACTGGATGGCGTTAATTTTGAATATGGTTTCAATTCACATGCTTTGGAACAGTTTGTGGAATACTGGCGAGATAATTATTTGACCAAATGGAGCACGCGTGAAGCGTATTTCAACTCTTTACGTCAGTATACCACCGAGATCCAGGGGTAGGAATATTACCACAAGTATTTCCATGTTCATTTAAATTTCTAAATCCCAATTTTTTCTAAATTCTCTAATAGCCTGCGCATTCATTTCATACACGAACGTGCATCGGAAGAGGCGGCCGCCACGAAAAAGGTTTATCCAGTGCTACTTCTACATGGCTGGCCGGGATCCGTGCGCGAATTCTACGAATTTATTCCCATACTGACAATGAAGTCTAACATAACGGATTATGCCTTCGAGGTGGTGGCCCCCTCCCTTGTCGGCTACGGCTGGTCCGATGTAAGTTTTCCCCTAAACCTACACTTAACTTATAATAAAATAATGAAAATATTTCTTAAAATCAGTTTTAGGACGTTTTTCTATAATCGGAAATATCTGTCTAACCTATAGATCTTTTCAGGCAGCTACTCGGACCGGATTTAACGCTGCAGAAATGGCCACCGTTATGCGCAATTTAATGTTGCGTCTGGGCCACAAGGAGTTCCTCGTTCAGGGCGGAGACTGGGGCAGCATTATTGGTAGCAACATTGCCACACTCTATCCAGAGAATGTCCTTGGCTATCACTCTAATATGTGCTTGCTTAACTCACCGCTGGCTATCTTAAAGGGCATCTATGCCAACTATTTTCCGGAAAAGTATTTGCCATCACGTTTCTTTATTGAACACCACTTTCCCATTTGGGAGAAGTACATGTATCTGCTGCAGGAGAGCGGTTACTTCCACCTACAAGCCACCAAGCCAGATACTATTGGTGCGGCACTCAACTCCAATCCTGTAGCTCTAGCCGCTTATATTTTGGAGAAGTTCCAAACATCGACGGGCCCTGGCTTAAATAAGGACTTTGGCGCTATTATTACCGTATACACTCTAGAAGCAGTATTGGATAACCTTATGGTCTATTATCTGACGAACTCGGCCACAACAGCGGGTCGTTTCTATGCCGAGAACGTGGCTAAACCTTATCGCGATCTTCAACTAGATCGGGTTCAAACCCCGGTACCTATGGGCTGTGCGCGTTTCCGTAACGATCTCCCATCAGTCACTGACTGGCAACTACGCGACAAGTTCCCCAATCTGAAGCATAGTAGATATTTCCAACAGGGCGGTCATTTTGCGGCTCTTGAAATGCCGCCTATGTTATTTAATGACTTTATTGAGTTTGTTGAAAATATTGGCCTTGACAAACTATAAATAAATTCTATTTTATGTGAACAATATACCCCTAACCACATTTTTTTATAAGTTTATGAACAGGGTGGTCTACATATGTACGACGATGGCAATTAAGTATTCAGACCTTTAAGGTGAATAGCGAGAAACCGTCCTCCACTGCGAAGCTAGCCTAGGCAGCCACATAAATGCAATCGTGTTTCGAAAACCCCAATAATTTACAAAAAAAAAAAAAGTTTTGTTCTTTCTAAACTTGTAAAATTAAAATTCTACTTATTCTTAAAACAGCCTGAACGTAACATTACATTTAAACTACTTTGGTTATAAATAATAATAAATATCTATCTAAGGTGATTAGTTTGTTTTTACTAAAATGAGGAAAATATTTCGGAATTTTTATTTTCATAATTCAACATCTAGCTCAAAAATTGATTCTTTCAAAAAACAACTAAACACCATATCTTTAAAGTAGAGCTCCTACAAATGATTTAATGAATTTGTATGTAAAAAATAAAAGATCCATCTCAGAAATTCATTGAATTATATTTACAGAAACAAGCGAAGAACATTATCAATTTACAGCTCCTGCTAAAGAAGAAATGAACTAGATAGCATGTTAGAAAAATAAAGCGCCAGCTTATCAGTTAACTGAAGCCCAGGCAAAATCAAAGGTTCAACAGTTTCAGCTTCCCCTAAAAAAAATTAATGACATATGTACATAATTGAACCAACTCAGCAATTGCTCAATTGCAATCAATTACTCAAGATTGCTAGTGTCATTCCGTAAATGGGACTTTTAATTGATTTTAATGTCGGGCTGACAACCGGCACATTGCCCTTGAGCTTGAGGGTATTGTGATTGGGGTTATTTATTAAAGTCAGCTGTTTACGCGCACTTTCTCAGTTTTCAGCGGGATTGCTCCATTTCGCCTCTCATAATGAGTCGCTCATTTTAGGTCTATATACTTAGTAAACGAAACCGAAATCTAACGCCAACTTGCAAATATTCGGTCAGTCCACAAAAGCTCACATAGCTTCCACAATGTCCACAGTAAATAAAGTAAATAAAGCCGGCTGCGAGTAATGTGTACTTAAAAAAAGCTTTGGCTCGCCGCTACTCGCTTCGATCACAGATCTGCCGGTGGCAACAGTTTATATTTTTCACTCGACTCGAGCGTTTCGTGTCGTCTTCGCCTACTGGCCTCCTTTTTACAAATTCATTATTACTCAGCGGAATTCCAATGGGTACTTTTGTGCGTATCTTAGTGGCAGGTCTTGCCATTGCCCTGGCTGTGGCCTTTAAAAACTACCGCGACCTATCAGCACCCGCCCCTCTCCCAAATCTAGATAACAACGCATATTGGGGGCCAGGAGAGCCCAAGGACTACAAAGCTAACGATGCTGTGGTGCCATATGACATAGGCGTCGCACCGGAGGTAGGTACCACAGACGCGACCTAAAAAGGGGTTATGTCAAAGAAACTGCGTCGTTGTTGCTGCCACACGATTGCGACTCGGCGCAGCTGTGTGCGACTTTTTGATAGAAACTCGTTTTGTTCACGTTTGCTAATTGTTTATTTGCAGCTAATCGCCGATCTTCATGCGCAGCTGAGTCGTCCGCTGAGGCTCCAAGAACCACTGGAGGGTGTGGGCTTCGAGTACGGGTTCAATTCCAAAGAATTGCGCAAAGTAATCAATTACTGGCGCGATTCCTACCTGCCCAAATGGAGCGAGCGTGAGCAATATTTGAAAAAGTTCCCTCACTTCCAAACCACTATTCAGGGGTGAGTTTCCAACCGTGATAGATTTGACACACATACATACATATGTATGATTGCATGTACGTATGTGCATATGTAATTATATTTATTACTTGACGAGAAAACAAGCTAAGTGACATAAGTTATGTACATTATTTATCATATCTTCTCATTGTTAGACTCTCAATGAGTTTACAAATGTTATGTTAAATGCCGTAGTACTATCCCCAGGTGGAAGGGATACCAGCCATTAGATCAGCTACAGGAGTAAGTTCGGATTACGATTTTTGAAATTGAATTCTTGTTGAAAGAAAAATAAGTCTTTTCTATTTTAATGCTAAGCAATCATAAGCTATACGCGCTAGCTTGTATTTCATTAAAATTTAATGGAATGGCCTTTACAATGTATGTACATATGTCCACATTCAAAATGCATTCGACACGTATCGAAATCGCATTGCTCTTGTGAATCGAAAGACGAAAAAACTTTGAAACGTGTCGAACTAATTTGTGTTCGAAAAATTCTGTCCAGAAACGTTGCTTCATTTTTAATCGAACTGACAAGGGTTGTTTAATCAACGAGCAAGTTTTATTTAATCACAAATTACTTAAAATTACTTCAACGAATTTTTTAAGCCGCCATAAATATTATATCCATTTAAAATATGAATATTCTTAAATACCTTTTACGTAGCATATCGGTAAAAGATTCAAATTATATGCCATATTAGTGTAGATAGCTTACACCATGTACCGTTGCTTTCGCCACTACATGGACATCCCTCTATGGCGACAAAACCCGAACTGATGGCGTTATACAATGCTCGCAACCTTCGCGCTGTCAATAGGTCGGACACCTATTTATTTATTTTAGTTGACGAAAGCGCAGTCCGCGAATTATGCAAAAACTACGAAAGTGATATTTTTAAAATCCCATTTCATGCATCGCATATAATTGACTGGAGCGAATATCTTATTTAGTCATTCGCATTCATTAAGCTTACTCCGCATCTTCCCCAAATACAAAACTGCTGAGTTTTTAATAAAGCCTTCACCTTTTGTAGACCAATTAAAATAATTAAATGTTCACCATTTCTTTATAGTCTTAAAATTCACTTCCTACATGTGAAACCCCAGAAGGTGGAGGGCAAGAAGGTGCTGCCGTTGTTATTAATGCACGGCTGGCCGGGCTCAGTTCGTGAATTCTATGAACTGATACCACTCCTGACGACGCCCAGTGCCTCGAGTGAGTATGTGTTTGAGGTGATAGCGCCCAGTTTGCCGGGCTATGGATGGTCGCAGGTAAGCATCACATTATTTATATATGTTATTTTGTTTATAATAACATATCGTTCAATTACAGGGCTCTTCAAAGACTGGCTTAGGCGTGGCTCAGGTCGCCGTGATCATGCGAAATCTGATGTTGCGCCTGCACTTCGACAAGTTCGTTATACAAGGCGGAGACTGGGGTGCATTGATTGGCTCTAATGTGGCGTCGCTGTTCCCGGAGAACGTGCTCGCCTATCATTCGAATATGTGCACCAACAACAGTCCAGTGTCGAACATTAAGCTGATCTTGAGCTCCCTATTCCCCGGTTTCTTTATTGATAGCCAACATGCTGTGTTCTACAAGGGAATTGGCAGCATATTCGTCCATATACTGGAGGAGTTCGGCTACGCCCACATTCAGGCGACCAAACCCGACACCATTGGCAGTGCACTTGCCCACAACCCCGTTGGCCTGGCTGCCTATATACTGGAAAAGTTTTCCACCTGGACAAATGCCGAATACAAGCACTTGGAAGACGGTGGCTTGAGTAAGCGCTTTACCTACGATGCGCTTCTCGACAATATTATGATTTACTATGTGACCAATTCGATAACCACTTCCGTGCGTTTGTATTCGGAATCCATGAATAAGGCGCAGTTGGCCTTAAATCTGGACAGTGTAAAGGTTCAGGCACCCACAGGCTGTGCACATTTCCTGCACGAATTGGCCCACACCCCAGACTCGCTGCTAAAGGATAAGTTTGTGAATCTCATTCACACAACTCACTACACAGAGGGCGGACATTTTCCGGCATTTGAAATTCCCGAAAAACTCTACACCGATTTCAGGAATTTTGTAAACAAATTGGAAAATTAAAATGCAGCACTGATACAAATCAAGACTTCTTTATGATTGTTCTAGGAGTATATTGAAATATTTTCTTTTAGATTTGTGGTTAGAAATAGCCACAAATGCACATATAGACCGGTTATAGTTGTCATTATCTACATATACATACATGCGTTATCAATCTACTTGGGGTCTTTAAAAACTGAAACTTTCAATTGCTGATAATAAAATTTAAAAAAAAAACAAGAGAGAACGCTACAGTCGCGCAAGCCCGGCGGTAAAATAGCCTTTACTCTCCACAAACAAGGTATTAAAAAAAATTAAATTATTAAAAAAAATTTAATTAATTAATTAAATGAAATAAAAAATATTTAATACACTTTCAACTGCATACATTTACATCATCGTGTCTATGCATGTATGTATGCAGCGCAAAATTGAACCAAAGCAGCAACAACAAAAACAGCTACGTGCAGAAAGTATAACAACGTCATAACTCGGATTTACCAAGTTTGGTTATTCTTGCTCTTGTACTTGCTGAGATCCTTGCGTTCATACAGACGGACGGACGGACATACATACATTCGCACAAAACTAGTATGTATAGCCTTTTACCCTTTGGCTACTGGCTAAATAATTGGTGAACAATCCGGTCGAAAAAATACGTTTTTTTAGGTATAAAACATCTCTGGCCGAGCAATTAAAATTATCCCAACGAATCGTATTCGTTATAAGATAATATTTTATTTTTTAAATTCTCTATTGAATTTTTTTTATTTGTTTTTATTTACAATCATTCGAATTTCTGACCGTAATTGAAGAAAAAGAGTCTGACAATCTGGGAGTAAATTTCCTAATACCATTGCTTCATTATTTGAAGAAAGATATTTGAAATACATATGCATACTTGTATGGTTTTCGAAACTAATTAACTCCAACGTCATCCCCATTAGCTGTGATTATTAAAACAAATTATTTCATATTATTTCTTAAAATGTTGAAATGTAGATAAAGTTCAGTAGCCATAATAGACGCCAGACGCCTGCACAGCTATAAATATTTATGTAAATTAAAAGCTTTCCTGCATAATAAGTATAACAACAATAGATTCATCTGCCCTCTCATATCAATCACTGCGATGTCATTTAAAAGCCGGCAGATTCTCACCGTGACTAAGCATCTCGCTTACAAATAAACACAACACAAATGTTTCAACTACACCGAATCGCGAGTGTGCTACCTGCGTTGTTAATGTGTAGTTTCGTGTATAATCCACAGACACTATTGGTGCCGTTGTAGTGAAGCAAGCGACGTAAAACGCTAAAATGATCATGCGATAACAATTCTGAGCTTAATACTCGGAACAACAACAACTACCAATAAGGCAACAGACATGTCACTTACTGATATGATTAGAAACAAGCTGCAATCACAGCAAGACAGACCCAACTGTTTGTAACTCAAATAAGGTCCGGCCAGTTTATTGACGACTGCTATCGCGTGCAGGTTGTCCAGTTGATAGGAGAATATTGACGAGATGTCTCCGATTACGCGAATATTGGTGCTTGTGCTGGCGATTGGCGGTGGCATGCTCTACAGGAACGTTAGCCAACTGTGGGCCGATCTACCCCCGCCAAAGCTCAATGAACAGGAATGGTGGGGCGACGAAGCAGAGCCGGCCGACTATGCGGCCTATTTGGCAAACAGCTCGGAAGTTGTCGGCAATCGTCTAAGTTATCCAGATGTGGTAAGTTTTGCAATATCTTATGATATGCACCTTATAATATGCATAATCTGAAGTTTCAAAGTTGGTGCAGTATATTATTGAGGGCCGGTTTTTGGGTATACAAGAGTCGTTAGCCACCTTAACGTCCTTCATTTTTTATGCCAACAGCGCATTGAGGAACTCACGATACTCTTGAATCAGACGCTGCGCCTCACTCCGCCCCTGGAGGGCGTGGCCTTTGAGTATGGCTTTAATAGCGATTATCTGAAGAAATTGGTAGCCTATTGGCGCGATAACTATTTGCCACGTTGGCGGGAACGCGAGGTCTTCTTGTGGCAATTCAACCACTTTACCACCGACATTCAAGGGTTCGTCTGCAGCTGATAAGCGCTTATCAAAACTTTTAATACTATTAACGCTTTTTAGTCTACGCATGCATTTTCTACACCTCATGGTCTACAATGACAACAAGGTGGGGAAGAAACACTATCCTGTACTGTTGCTTCATGGATGGCCCGGTTCCGTGCGCGAATTCTACAATCTCATCCATTTGCTGTATCAGACCCAATTGAATAAGAATAACAAATACATCTTCGATGTCATTGTGCCCAGTCTACCGGGATATGCCTGGTCACAGGTAAAGCTCTAAAGGCAACACATTATCGTCATCATCTATCTAATCCACTTATTTGCAAACCACAGGGCACTTCACGGAAAGGCCTGGGGCCCGCTCAAGTAGCCGTCATGATTCGCAATTTAATGCTCCGACTCGGCTACAAGAAGTTTTTTATACAGGGCGGCGACTGGGGATCCGTCATTGGCTCCAACATAGCCACACTTTATCCAGAGAATGTACTCGGCTATCATTCCAACATGTGTAACAACTTCAGCCCCAAATCGCTTGTTAAGGGTATATTCGCCAGTTTTATACCCAATTTCTTCGTGTCCAGCGAATACGCGGATTTCTTCTTCCCCAAGTCACGTGAGCTCAGCTATTTGCTCGAGGAGAGCGGGTACTTCCACTTGCAGGCCACCAAGCCAGACACCATTGGTAGCGCCCTCTCCGGCAATCCCGTTGGCCTGGCTGCCTACATTCTGGAAAAGTTCTCCACCTGGACCAATGCTAGTTACCGGTCCCTGCCCGATGGGGGCCTTAAACGAAGCTACAAGCTAGACGCACTGCTAGATAATGTTATGATATATTATCTGACCAACTCGATTACCACATCGCAGCGTTTATATGCCGAGGCTTATTCGTCCGCGCAGCGAGACCTAAGGCTGGAACGCGTTCCTACGACGGTGCCAACGGGCTGTGCGCGGTTTAAGTCGGATATAATGCATTTCCTGGACTATCAGCTTCAGGATAAATATAAGAATCTAATACACAGTTCGTACCATAAGCAGGGCGGACATTTTGCGGCGCTAGAAGTTCCAAAAGTTTTACATAGCGATTTTATTGAATTTGTCCAAAAAGTAGAGAGAAAGTTTAATATTAAGCCGCTTTAGAAACCATAAAACAATTTCCTTTCAAGTCGTATTTCTCTTTATATAGAGTAATTGATTCCCTTTGAACCGAACAGACATAACCATGGTGAATGATAAAATACCTTTGTCTATTAAATAACCTATTAGCAATTCGTTAAATGTAGTTAAGCTTTCATTATTCGAACGGACTATGGTAAAGACTGTTTAATTACTAGTTGATATTAAACAAATTTCAATTCAAATTCGGGTACTATGTTCAGTTGTTCAGGATAAAACAAATTTATAGGCTAAATGAGAATCGGCCTGATGCTGAAAGGCTAAAAATGTGGGTCTTGATTTGAATTTAATATGCCTAATAAAATAATTTAATTTTCACTTTGTTCCGCCATAATCAGCTGGTTGCGCCAACGTATGAATATCGATAACTTTTGGCACTGATCCCCTGATTATCCTACACACATCCTCATACGCTCTTGTAGTGTTGGTCAACGTAGGGAAAGCTTAAGCTTAGTTAAAATATGCAATACAAGAAAAGCAAGCCAAGGATTAGAGCTCATAAAACGGAAAGGAAATTCATTTGTAAAATTGTAGGCGCCTAAACAAGACGCAAAGTTGATCATTTTTTTTTAATAAAATACAAAGGACCATTAAGCACAAAAATAGTAAAACAAAATATTTTTTCCACTACACTGAATACCATTTGGCTTTTGCTTGCGCCTTGAAAAATCTTACAGTTATCAGGATTTCATTTTGATTTTGGCGCGAATTGTGATAATAGGTAGAAAATGAACGACTTTAAGTTAACCGTTGCTTTGACCAGCAACAACAGCGAAAATATGTCTCGCCATGAAATGCTAAATTGGGTGAACAACCTGGTGAATGGACAGTTTAAAAAAATCGAGGAGCTGCGCTCCGGTAAGTGCGTGTTTCTTTTGTGCTCTTCCAGTTTTATTTTGGAACGCTTTTAAGGTGTCGCCTATTGCCAAATGATGGAGTTGATCTTCCCGAATTGTATCAATTTGAGGCGGGTTAAAATGGGAGCCAAACTTGAGCACGAGTTCTTGCACAATCTTAAACTCTTTCAGGCCGCTTTCACACGCCTCAAGCTGGACAAAACTGTGCCCATCGATCGTTTAATGAAAGGCCGCTTTCAGGATAACTTTGAGTTCTTGCAGTGGTTCAAAAAGTTCTTCGACTCGCAGGCACCTGGTCTGGAAAATATGAAGAGCGCAGCCAACTGCCCGACGCTGAAACCCATCAAGCCCCGTGTACTAGATAAGTCATGTCCAAGGACTGTAGAGCCTAATGCAGATGGTAATCTGACCGTAAAAGACTTGATGTGCCAAATAGATGAAATGAATAATAAAGCGGCGAGCGTCATTGAGCGACGGGATCATGCGTACAGCAAGCTGCGAAAGATTGAGGTCATGCTGAACGAGCAAATTGAGGAAAATGAGAATATTGAGTTCTGTCAGCGTATCTTCCACATACTTTCCACCACAGAGTTCGAAGAAGACGTCACTGAAAATGTGGCAGCTATGGTCGAATAATGGATTAATCTGTTAAAACACTTTCGAAACTATTTGCATAAATATTTATTAAACTACTCTGCGGTATCGAAACTATCAATCATTTTGTGTGGGACTGCTGTTGGCGGAACTTGAACTTCCGTAATCGCCGACTAGAGACAGACTATTGATCACATTTGTACTTTCGCCATCTTGATTTGCTGTTATTGTTGTTGCACGATTAATCTGAGGTTCCTCTTTGCGTATTATGCCTAGATCCTGCAATTGCAGATGCGTGTTTAACACTTTTTGTCGTTTTAGTCCGCCAAATGTAGTGGCAGTAGCACTTGGCAAGGCGGGTTTCATCAGCAGCTCCAAACGCTGTTCAGCTTCGCGCTCCTTGGCCGATTTGGTTTGTAGTTTCATCAGCGCTGCCATTTCTCTATCCTGCGCTATTTCTGGCAGCAGAGCTATGTCCAGGCTGCTCTTGGCCAGCAACTGACGATCCAATTCCTGTTGTCCTTTGATTTCATGTTTCTGTTTCCGAAAGGTGGCGCGCAGTCGGCAGTTGGCTTCATAATTGTCATCCCAGACATCCATATTGCGCTCGACAAGCTTCTGCAGTACCGGCTTCGCATCTGCAGCAGCCTTGGCGTCCTTGGCCTGATGTTCAAGCTTGTACATGCTGTCAAGGAGGCGGATTTGTACTTCCTTCGTCTCCGGCACCACCTGCTCGTTCTGAAGTGGATCCCAGCGGTTTTCCTGCCGTCGCGCGCCTGACAGGATAACATAGTCCAAGTTGCCAGGATCGGTTTGTATCTCAAAGTGGTTGTCGCACAAATGGCACTTCATACGAAACTTGTAAATCGGCGTAGTGTAGTACATGCCCACTTTGGTTTTCTCTGCATTGTAGCGCACGCCCATGCCTATGTGATTCTTGCAGCCATCACACCAGATATTATAGGGCATCTCAAATCGGATGATGATTATGCCCAGATGTATTTTTCTTGCGCGTTCGCGTAGGGCATGAGTGCCACGAAATTTGTTGAGCCCACCTTTCTTGGGATCATAGTCGGGCGGGTAATACTTGTTTTGACCTTTTCGCTCCCCCATTTTTTAAATATGCACAATTTGTTTAAAAATAATAAATTTTGTTCCTCTCAGACGTAAACAACTCAAAGAATTGCGTTACGAAAGCTGAGTGCTGCATAACATAACTTAAAACAGCTGTGCTGAGAGCACATTTTTCATTGGTAGCCCTGGTTACGTAGCGTTCACATTGTAGAACCGCTTCGAGTTCTGGGTGACCAGCTTTGGTATATTAACAGCTTAATGATATAGAAATTGTTTCGTTTATTCGTACTGCATTTAATGGTCACTCAACTTTCACAACTGTTTAGTAATACAAATACAATAATCAGTATAGTTGTGAAAACTTCGCGTGAGTAGTTGGTGTATTGCAGCGTTTAGTTTTTAACCCGCTTTGCCACGTAAATTGGATAAAAAGACATTGAATTTGGTAGAGACATAATGATTATTTATACAAATGAGGGAAATCCGCTCGGGCTTAAGTTGCTAATGCTCGCCAAATTCGCAAAGCAATCGGTCCAGCTACAAGTAGTTAACCTAAATGGTAAGTGGTCTACTGTCTTAATCATCACAAAACGTGCGACTTCCAAGAAAAAACATGTAATTTCTGATGCAATAACTGTTTGACTTGCAGATGCTAAGCATAAAGATTTGCTGGTGCTGCCAACACTAGAGCTGGACAATGGTCAGCGGCTCTTCTCATCTGTGGCTATTGCCAAATACCTCTTTGACGAGGAGGATCAGCTTAGGGACGAGGTATGTACGTTTAAAGCTATTGAGCTGTTTAATTGACATCGAACCGCTGTTGGGCCTACCATGACCCCTCAAGGTTATATAAATATAAATCTAACAAATTGTATTTATCACGCACAGTGGCTAGAATGGTCCACAACGTTGCTAGCGCCCGCATTGGCACATCACATGGCAGTGGGACATCGGGCAGACCCCAATGCACTTCCGGTCTTAAATGCACTTGTAAAGAAGCTGGATGATCGCTTGAAATCCTCACCCTACTTGGCCGGCAACAAACTAACAGCTGCCGACATCTCAGTGTGGTCGTTGCTGGCACCCGATGGCACACTGAAGGGTGCACAGAACGTGGACAGCCTGCGCGATTGGTATGGGAAAGTGAAGGCACTGCCCGAGGTACAAGCAGCACTGGCGGAGCAGCCGCTCAAGGATCTCTCTTTTAATGCGCTCCAAAACGCCAATAGATATGGTGGCTTATACCACGTACCGCTTAAGCTGCCTAATACGGCTGATACGGGTAAGCTGCTAGCCGAGGCAGCTTCCACTCTGGCCGACACCATCACAGATGAGGAAATCAATGCAGCACGTGCTGCTTTTACCTATACTGAGCCCAAGAAATATAACGAACCACGCACTGTGCTGCCCAAAGCTGGAGAGCGGAATGTGCTCGTCACATCGGCCTTGCCGTATGTCAACAATGTTCCTCATCTGGGAAATATCATTGGTTGTGTACTATCATCGGATATATTCGCACGGTACTCTCGCTGTGCCGGTTACAACACATTATTTATTAGTGGTACCGATGAGTACGGCACAGCCACGGAGAATAAGGCGCTAGCTGAGAATATGACGCCCCGGGAGATTTGCGATAAGTATTTCGAACTGCATAACGGTATTTACCGTTGGTTCGGCATCGGCTTCGATTATTTTGGACGAACAACAGCACAGGAGCAAACAGAGTGAGTCAACAATGCTTTGCGACGCCAGTATCATTCTAACTGTACTTCACTATAGCATTGTACAGGAAGCGTTTCATGATGTATACAAGGCCGGCTTCATTCTGAAAGAGAGCGTAGAGCAATTGCTGTGCCAGAAGTGCGACCGCTTCTTGGCCGATCGGTAAGAATTAAACATGATTTTTTATTTTAAATTCTTATTAAATTGCTTAAAAATCCCAGCTTTGTGGAAGGCACCTGTCCACATCCTGGCTGCGGATATGAGGATGCACGTGGAGATCAATGCGACAAGTGCGGAAAACTAGTCAATGCTACAGAACTCATCCGTCCTCGTTGTAAAGTGTGTAACACAGCTCCAGTGCTGCGGTCTTCTGACCAACTGTTTATCGATCTGCCCAAGGCAGAACCGCAACTACGAGAATGGGTGGATCACGCCGAGAATGGTTGGACTAACAATGCACGCGTTATCACACGGGCCTGGTTGCGTGAAGGACTCAAACCGCGTTGCATTACACGCGATCTGAAATGGGGTATACCTGTACCTCATAAAGGCTTTGAAAATAAGGTGTTTTATGTGTGGTTCGATGCACCTTTCGGCTATGTGTCTATGACCAAGCGGTACACAAAGGACTACCAGCAATGGTGGCAGCCCGCCAAAGGCACTGAAGTCGAGCTCTTCCAGTTCATGGCCAAGGACAATGTGCCTTTCCATTCTGTGGTGTGGCCCAGCGTACTGCTGGCTATAAACAAGGGCCACACACTGGTCGCGCACATCATGGCCACCGAGTATCTAAACTATGAGGATGGCAAATTTAGTAAGAGTCGCGGCATTGGTGTCTTCGGCAACGATGCCCAAGATACGGGAATTCCAGCAGACGTGTGGCGTTTCTACTTGGCTTCAGCGCGACCGGAAGGCCAAGATTCTAGCTTCAGTTGGAATGATTTGGCTGCTCGCAACAACTCAGAGCTGCTAAACAATCTGGGCAACTTTGTAAACCGCGCACTCGTCTTCTGCGAGAAGAACTTCAACAGCACCGTACCAGAGATTGCGTTAACTCAAGACGAACTGATATTGCTGGCGCTGGTTAATCGTGAGCTGCGCGGCTACATCAACTCTCTCGAGAAAGCCAAGCTGCGCGACGGCATACGCCATTTGATGTCAATCTCTCGCCACGGCAATGGCTACATGCAGACGCAACAGCCGTGGTTGCTACTCAAGGGTAATGCCGAACAGAAGGCGCGAGCGGCCACCATTATTGGTCTATGCGTGAATTTGGCATGTCTACTGGCCAATTTGCTATACCCGTACATGCCATCTACTGCGCGCACACTCTTCGCTCAGCTAAATGCTCAACACACGCGACTTAATGCCGAGTAAGTTTTTTAATTTCATTATTTAATTAATAAGCTAATCATTCCCTTTTTGTAATAGCAAACCTTTGGCCACGTTACTGCTACGCACAGGACATAAAATAGGCAAACCAGCGCCACTATTCGCCAAACTGGAGCAAGCCTTTATTGATGAGCTCAAAGGAAAGTATGGCGGTACGCAGACTCAAGCAAAAGAGGAAAACACCAGTTCAGCCACTTCCCAGCCGACAAATGTGGCTGAGCTTGAGAAAGCGGTGCAGGCACAGGGCGAAAAAGTACGTCAGTTGAAGGCTAGCACAAAGGACAAAGCCGTCTGGCAGCCGGAAGTGGCTAAGCTCTTAGATTTGAAGAAACAATTGGAGGCTGCACAGAAGACGACAACTGCGCCTTTTCCCAGCGACAATGCCAAACAAAATGGCACTCGATCTGTTCAGGAACTGGAAGCAGCTGTGCAAGCGCAGGGCAATAAGGTCCGCCAATTGAAGGGAAGCACTAAGGACAAGGCTGTGTGGCAACCCGAGGTTAACATACTGCTTGACCTGAAGAAACAATTAGAGGCTGCAAAAAAGGCTGCCAAATAGGCATCGAGCGCAGAATTATCGCTGGGAAATGGATTTTTCACAATGGCTAAATAATTTGACTTGAATTACCTCATTTATGTATCTAGTGCGTATGCAATTTTATAAACATTGTATGGAAACTGTTTGTGGACTCACGATTTTTAATTTATTTTCTTTAAGCTATTTTGTTCCTTTTGCATTTACCAAACCCTATTTATTTGGTCTATTACAATAATCCATTATAAGCAAATATAACTATGACTTGATATTAAAAAAGTATTAACGCATTTTTATTAAATCCAAACTATTATATTAAACTACAATAAATTACATTTCGCTTGAAACTCATTGAAATTATAGAAATTATATTCATACATTTGTATGTGTACTTCAAGAAATATATTATTAATGTAATTTTAATTACATTACAAATTGTAATATATACTTGTAGAAAATAAAAAATTACAAAAATTATCTTAATGACAAAAGGATTTCACTTTGAAAATTCTTGAATTAATTATTTGTGCGTAATTGGAAAAGTTCCTTACCATTTGAATGTAATTTCGAGTAAATTTTCATTATTTTTGCACTTTACTTCATTTGGGTTTTGAATTTTTTAAGATGATGATTAATTTTTAATAATTGAATAAAATTTTGAAGCAAATTAATTTTATTAATGTGTTTGTTAATTATATATTTATAGTAATAACTATTATTATATTACTATGTTATTATACTTATTTGATTTATATTTATGGTAGGCCGGTCAAAATGGGAAACAACGACTAAGTGCCTCAAATCTAACAATTTATGGTGAATGGGTCGACTCCTGAGAAATTCGAATACGCTCGTAAAGAGAGAAAATGACATAGTAGAAGTAGAATTGCAGCGCTGTGAATAAATAAAGGGGAAATTAACATTTAATACTATTAACACTCTCAGCATTATTTTTGCCCATTAATAATAATTTTTCCGTTAATGTTAAGTACTTAGAACTATACCGCGATGTACTATACATACATCTGTATATACATATGTATTTATGAATATGTTTTGAATTTAATTGGAAGTCGGCGCCAAATAACAAATTATCGTTCTTAATTAAATTGATATTCTTGATATGAATCCTTAATGACTTACACATTACAATCCCGTAGATAAGAATGTTTAGAAAGTCACGGTTTTCAAAAAATATTGCAATGTTGTATAGATTAAGAATTACTCCAAAGATTATTACAATACCAGAAACAATTAGCCAGGGCAATAGGAACTTATGACGTTTCTAAAAAAAAAATATGAGTAGACAAATTCAGAATGAGAAATAGCAATTATATACATACTAGTAATAACATACCTTGACTGTGCCTACCACCAGCATAATAGATATAATCAGATTGAATAGTAATACGACCAATACGACTATCTCTGCAAAAGTTTATTATAGATCCACTGCTATCCACAACTATTTTTAAACTTACCCATGATGAACTCGGAATTAGGTGGCAGTTCATACTGCGTCTCTTCCAAATGTATTTGCTTTAGTTGGAGAAGTGCGAAAGATTCCACGATAGCAGATAGGAAGGATCCCAAAATACCTAACCAGCCGATCCAAAGACCCCCGGCCTCAAGGGAAAAGCAACAGCAACTTGTCAACATTTTTATTAAAATTCCAGCCCTCACTGAATTTTTATTTGTCTATTTCCGCAACCTTTTTGCACTCGACCCCAAAAACGAATAAGACTAAACTATAATTTTCGACACTTTTGTTCTGAAACTGTCGTTAAGCGAGTGTGAAAGCTTTTTGTTACACGACTTTTTAGAAAAGCTCCCCGTACTAGCTTTAGGAAACAGGTCTTTCTTCATCCTCCACAGCTTTGAAAATTATAAGCTACTTCTGATTTATTTTTATAAAATTGTAACTTCCACAACAGAGAACATTTTTTATAAATGTTAATGTTATGTTAAAATTATAATAGTTAAAGTTAATCAAAATGTTTAATACCATTTTAAACTGTTTAAAAATGTAACGATTTTGTTGAAAAGCTGTTTACAGTGTGACCAAATAGATTTTTCAAAAAAAAAAAACACAATTTATAGTTAATAAAAAACCTGCAAGCTGATTTAAAGTTTAATATTAGAGGGATTTTTCCTTTGTATGAACACCTTTTCAGTTGGTTTCCATTTAGTCACCAAACTAAACTCCAGTAAATTGAAGTTTAAGCACAATGCTTTCTTTCTGTTGTCATCAGTTGCAGGAATACCACTATCAGCTGTGCAGGAATACGTAAAGTACTCGATGTAGTCCACACATAGATTGTTCTCGCTAATGATACAAGAACACTTAAATTGAAAAACAATTTTACACCAATTTGTGTTCATTTTTTAAGAGTTTTATTTTGTAAAAAATAAATTAAATGCAACTCTCACAAAGATTCTGATTTCTTTACGCCCATTAGATGCAGGAATGATTGCTGCGAAACGGTAACAATACATCGATGGCATCGATACTTGAGTGCTTGTAAATATCGGTACCATTGTTGTATTCTCAACGCAAAAAGTATGCAAAAATAGTGTTTTTTCCGTGTAATTAAAGCGAAAATTGTGCAATATTAAACAAAACTGTGCCAAGTGAATGTGAAAGACGTTAGTATTAAAATGAGCCAGATATAGATTAGATTAATGCGTAAAACATAAACAAACAAATTTTCTTTACCAACCTCCCGTCACGCGCCCGCTGCTACCCCCAACAACTGCAAAATTCGTCATCAGCTGGAATCCACTGAGTCGCCACAAAATGTAAAACTGCTCCTGCCACGCGCGCACGCGACACATTATGCAGCTAGACGTGTCGTTGCCGTCTGCAGTGATAATCCATCAGGCGAGAAGTGCAGATTGGTTTTGCAATTAATTGCTTGACGTGCGATAACAATACATTACAAAAGTAAATAGAAATAAAAAAAACTGACTTCTGCAGTTTAATAAGGTGAAATGTGAAAATTGTTTTGAAAGGAAATTAAGTGAAATTAGATTAACATGTGTGTATACATCAGCGTCAATCACTGAACAAAGAACACTTATACATAAGCACATATTTACATAAACAAACTGCTGCAATATGTGTGTATAGAGCACCAAATTATTTCAGTCCATATAGTATGTATGTACATATGTATGTGCTTGTATGTACATGTAAGAGTGTCGTCCGCTGGTCCGTAACAGGGCCTGGCGGCTCAAATGACGCACTCTAGGAAAATGTGCTAGATGCCACAGTTCTTAAATATGCAAGAAAAAACCAAAACACCAAATCTTTTAATATGGCCAAGGACACCAAATGTTGGCAACAAGTGGTTGTTGCTTTAATTGCTATTGATTATTTATCGTTTGGTTTGATTTACAATTTTTGAATTGCAGTACCCAAGTAGCGACTGGCAAAAGACGTCGCCATGGAGTCATCAGACGCAACAATGGAGGAGCAGAAGCTTATGTCGGAGGCCAAGTACCGCAATTATATGACGAATATTGACAAAGCGCTGCGTAATTTCGAATACTCCAGCGAGTGGGCGGATTTAATATCGGCGCTAGGCAAGTTGAGCAAGGTATGGCATTAATTTAAATTACTATCTATATATGTATATGTACATATAAACTTATCAATTAGTTTATGTCGAACGCATATGAACATATGTCGATTTACTAGATGGCTGACCATCTATCGTAAATTTTGCGCATCGCAGTAACTTTTATGTTGATAGTGACTCATTTAGCATATACGATAGTTTATCCCGTTTTTTCAAGCTCACCCTTTCATTAAATGCTGAATTAAAGCTACATAAGTAACGTAATTGAATAATTTTTATTATAGGCTATATCGAGCAATTCGCAGTATCCAGTAATACCAAGACGGTTGAAGATTTCGAAACGTTTGGCACAATGTATGCATCCCAATTTGCCGTCCGGTGTCCATTTGAAGGCACTGGAAACCTATTCGGTTATATTTAGTAAAACTGGTCCGGAACGTTTGGCCTCGGAGTTCATTTATAGGTAGGTTGAATAAATACACAATGTGTTGTCTAATCTCTAATAATATTTTGATTTACAGCGCCGGGCTCTTTCCGCTGCTTGGCTATGCGGCAATGAATGTTCGCCCCGCACTCCTGTCCATCTACGAAATGTATTTTGTGCCGTTGGGAGATAAATTGCGTCCGGCGTTGAGCGGTTTCTTGAATGGTGTGCTTCCCGGATATGAGTGTGGACTGGACCATTTTGAGCGGACCAGCTCACTTTTGAAGAAAGTTTGCATAGCCGTCAATCCCATGCATTTCTACACAGTTTTGTGGGAATCGGCAGCTACTAATGCTGCAATTCGTCTGCCTGCTATCACATATGTTCTGGAGCACTTTAACAAACGTCTGGATATGCGAGAACAAGTCTACATCATGGGCCACAACCAGGAGGTAATGATGTCTGCGTTATGCGCCTGTCTCAACGATTCTGTGATATTGGTGCAACGGAACACTCTGGAGTTTCTGCTGCTCGGCTTCCCCATGCACACAACACTGCTGGGCGAAGAGGATCTGGTCAAGCTGGTGACCAATGGTCTTAACACTATACTAAGGCGTGACATGTCTCTAAATAGACGACTATTTTCATGGCTGCTCGGTGCTGAGGTTTCGAAGAATTCGCCCACCTATGACACACTCTCCTTAGACGCGGTACCTGTAGATGAGGAGCCATACTTTGTGAAGCACTCTCGTCACATACTGATACGTGCGCTGATCAATACACTGCGCATCAGTCTTGAGTGTGCGCCAATGGACCTAAAACCCTATCGAATTATGTTGTCGCTACTGGATAAGGCAGACATTGGCAGCGCTGTTCTGGACTTTGTCTTGTGTGACATTATTCGAACCATGTACATATCCAGCGGCAATTTGGAAGCCCTAAAATCGGCCAACTTGCTTTTTGCCACATTCGATCCGGCCTACATATGGAGCTTTATGACAAACATGTTCGACAATGCCTGCCAGCAGGCACAAGCAACAGACATAGCGCAGCGTCAATCGAAAATCGAGAGCAAGTACCCATGTGATGTGGGTTCTGGAGACCCATTTGTGATTGAAATTTGTGTGCTTACCGAATTCCTCCTCGAAACAGTCTCCCTCGAAATGTATAGAGAGACAACATGCGTTTATCTGCCAAAAGTATTCTTAGCCGTCACACAACTGCTCTCCCTCTACATGGATCATGTGACCAGCGAAGAGATAACAGCCTCGCTCAAGCTCTGCATGAAAATTGTGTCGCGCGTTCAGCCCATGATAACGTAAGTACCATATACACCAAATACCTCCACTTTATTTTATTATCTATTTCATTGTGTTGCCCTTGCAGCAGTCCCATTAAATTGGCGCCCACAATGACTCAATGTGCTCCATCGTTCGAGGATAAAAGCAAAAGCATAGAAGCACAAGGGAGCTCTGGTAGCGGTACAGGCACCTCCTCGCTGGAGAAGAGCAAATCTGATTCGCGTCTAAATCATTTTGCCGACAACTTGATGCATAGCAAACACAATAACCAGGACGAGGTTATAAGACGCTCGGCTTCGAATCACAGCGTCGGTCGTCATAGTCCAAAGAAGAAGGCCAAGTCGTTCTCACGTCTATCGGAGCTCGATAAAGATGTAAACTAACTTGATTATGAAAACTCCAATGTCCGTCTGTTCATAGTTGCAAATTGCTTACATCCATCACTTTAGCATTTATTTTGTGTGCATAAATCTACAAGTCTGCATTCTAGATAGCTTAGTGAACCAATTATAAAGAAAACTTGTAATAAGTTCTTAGATATAGAATAGAAAACATCGTACAAGTCACAGGAACAATTAATTATCCACCTTTATTATTTCTTCGTTTTTCTGACAATTTTTCCGTATATTTACAGATAAGCGCTTCGGATACGGGCCAGCAATCCTCTTCTGACTTGGATACGCCACGCAGCATTAAGAAAATAAAGGCAAAGGTTCCATTCGGGCTTCGAAGCAGTCCCAAAAAGACTCGACCCAAGGATATTGTGCTAATACAAGCAAAGGCTGATGACAATCCAGCAGCAAAGGCAGATGATGAAGCTGAAACTGTCGATACGCCCAAAAGCGCACCACCTGATCAACTGGAGGGTGGGAACATCGATAGCTTTGTATTGGATGATGAAACAAAGGAGGCAGAGAAGCGCGGCTACTCCATATTGGAGAAATGCATACGCCAGTATGAGATCTTCTTTGAGGTCTACCTGGCACGCAAATTGCTGAAAATAGAAAACGCCACTCCCGATACTATTGTCGATGCTAATAAATGTCCGGTCAAAGTTCAACTGCAGCGCAGCAGCAGCGGCGGCGCAACCCACAATGCCAACCTCTTCATGGTCGAGCATGTTGTGGAGCATGAGTGCGAGAAGCGAGTGCAGCAAATCGAGCGTTTATTTAAGCTGTTGCGCGTAGATGTTGTGCCTCGTTCGAAGCAACTACAGCGGTTGCTCCACCGCTCGTTGCCGCCGCAGTTTACCTCGGCCAGCGAATTGAGCAGCGACAGTGACCCGGATGCGGAACGTGAAAAGCTGGGGATCGATTCCCAGACACAGCAGAGTGTGCAGCAATTGATGGAACTGCATGTTAGTGATTCACTGCGTGCTGCTGTCAAATTAGCCGCCACCTTGCTGGTCGAAATGTCCACGTTTCCCAATTGTAACAAGCACATTGTCCTAGACAAGAATGGTAGTGAATTAATATTTGACATACACAGAACCAAAAAACAATCAACTCATTCTTGATTTTTCAGTGCAAGAGCTACCCAATTGGCTGAAGGTTCTGTGCCTCGTCGCCTGCTTCACCCAAGCTGATAAGGAACTACAAGTTTCCGCCATCACAACGCTCTTCGATCTAATCAGGTACGGAATTGAATTTTTAACATAGTTTTTGCAGGGGAATGTCTAGAATCTACCAAGTGTTTCATGGAAGTAAGCCTTGGCGAAGCACCCAGTGTAGACCTGCGACTCTTTGTAGCCTGCATCACAGGTAACAAAATGAATCTGGAGGGGAATGAATCACCATCGTAAAGAAATATAGAAAAAAGAACTGCAAAAACTGATCAGCATGGCAAGACGAGTCGATCTGGCCCTGGCCGTCAGTCCGCCCGTATCAACACCTAGATCTTAGAGATTATAAGTCCTAGATACACCAAATTGTATTCCATTTTCCACTTGTTTTAATTAAATTCGTTTATAGCCTTCTTCGCTCCCAAATCGAACATGCCACTAGTCCGGGAGTCACGTTCGTCGTCATGCTGCCCCTCCTTAAGTTTGGCCACGTTAGCTACATGGAGCAGAACACGCGCGTGTTTCAGCTTGTCACATCGACATTGTGGGACTATTTGGGACCAGAGATGGATCCAGCACAGATCGCTGCACTGCTCTATCAGCTGCACAGTTGTCTGGAAAGCGGTCTCGTTGAAACGGTAATTGGAAATCGCATGTACGCACAGTATTTGCTGCACCATTTTGAGACGAATGGTCTGGACAAAAGTGCCTGCAAGATGCGTACGACTAGCTCCTTGCAGATATTTAATAATGATCGTGTGTCGGATGTGCACATGATTTGTCCTTCGAGCTCGATGGAACGATTGCGTGAGAGCAAGTCACGGAGCTACAAGAAATTCGAACTACTCTGGCATTTGGGTCGCGACAAGCAAACGTCGCGTGGGTTTGAGAAGACATTGCTAAAAGTTTTGGACACATTGGCCCTTCCTCATTACATGTCAGAGCGAACGTTCGTAACGAATTGGCTGCAGGCGTCGCTTCTGCGCGGCGATTTATCGCGCCTGACAAAACCGTTGTTTAAAATACTGCTTGCCGCCAATTCAAAGCGGGTGGGTATCGTCCATATGCAGCATTTATATCGTGAGGCAGACGAAACGACAGGTAATGACGAACCGAATGACCAGAGCGAGCGTTATAATGGTTCCTTCGAACGCGATGTATACGCGATTAGCTCAGAGCACGGAAACATTAAATACCATCACATGGAGCCTTCAAGCAGCAAGAAAAAGAGTCCCATACGTAATTTTCCAAAGAAGATATTTGGCGTGACGCTGAGTGGCAAAGCGAACAAAACTTCCAATTTTGTTAGCGACAAATCAGCGATGACCCCAACATTATCAACTGAAGTGGCACAGGATCTAACCACAATTGGTCTGATCATAAATCCTTTGGAGAATTCGCGCGATTTCGATGACGAAACTGATTTTGAGGAGCCCAAAATAGAGCTAGCGGCGAGTAGCAAAGATGAGCAAACACCACTGGAGGAAAAAATTGCGAACGCAATGGATGAATCGGATCAGCAGCCACCACAAGACGAGCCTTCAAATGAGCAAGAAACCGATTCTCGGATCCACTTTGAACAGGACTTGACGGACGATTCCGATAGCAGCGACTTTGAGTCAGACTCGGAAGTGCGGGAGCCGAGCATCGAAAAGGAAGAGAGCCCAACTGTAAGCTCCGGCGCAGGCGTCAGTGGCAGTGCAGCAACCGCTGGATGCGATGATGTGACACGTTTTGTGGGTGATTGTGCCACAGACATGATGACCCAACACGAACGCATCAAGAGTCGTAAGACCTATCGGTTGACGCGTGAGAAAACGCCGGGGGAATCAAGCCTTTTGTCAACCACCACTACAACAACAACCGATGAGCAAGCCTCGATAGACGCGTCAAGTGTGCCAGATAATGAGCACGCCCTACCAGCGGATGAATATTTTCGCGAAGTCAAACCATTAACCAGCAATGACCAGGAACCGAGTATTTTGCCATTCAAAAAATCGGACAAAAAAACATCTCGCCACTTGGCTGGTGGATCCAAAGAGAAGCGCAAGCGTAAAAAATTTCTAACTAGCAGCGATAAGAAGCGGCTCAGTTGTATATCGAAAACATCTACGGACAGTAACAATAGTCATGGGGAAGCGCCAGTCGCTGCTGCTGTCGAAGAAGATGCTGAACATAACGCAGAGCCCTGTGTGCAAAGTGAAGATGAGACCGTTGAGTCTGAATCACAAACAGTTTCGTTGCAGACTATCTCAGATAATGCGGCGACCATCAATGTAGAGGATAAGCGTCGCAATCTGAGCCTTGAGACTAGCAAACTGAAACAAGACTGGGAACTCACTCAGAAGACGCTGGAGAAGAGCAAACAAAATGTCGAGATTCTGCGTCAGAATGCCGCTCAAAATGCCGAAGAACTAAGCATACGCTCCTCCACAAAAAGCTGTAGCTCCCTCAGTGACATACGCAAGATGCGTAATGCGGACGTAGTGCATCTGTTCCACAATCATCTGCTTATATATTTGGCAATCTATGACACCAGACAGACATTGTACGCTTTTCAGACGCTTCGCAACATTATAAGCTGCGACAAACGCACCTTTTTGTGTCTCTCGATCACAACTTCCTTCTCCAGCGGCAGTCTCAAAGAGATGTTGATTCGTCATCGAAAGAGTATTTCAGGCAAGGACTTTGGTGGCAGCGTCAACAACTCGGAGTACGCGCAAAGTTATCGCGGTTGCATGCATTTGGAGCTTCTTGTGACCCTTTGTCTGTTCTATGCCCGCGGCTACTTCCATCGCGAGTCTTTGGACGCAAAGAGTGAGGCACCAACACTGGATGACATTGCCAACAACAGAAGAGTACAGTTGGAGAGCATCGATTTGCTCACCCTCATCTGCACCGAACTCATTGATATTGTTAAGGGCATGGGCAAAGGACTTGCCTGCTATATTGCCGATCTAATGGCGCGCTGCAAGCTGCAGAAAGTGATCCTTCATTGTCTGAACTCCTCGGTCTGCACCTATGGACGAACGTTGCGCAATGTTGGCGGCAGCTTTGCCGAGCAGGTGCTCAGCTTCAACGATCCACAGGACGATCATCTACATGCCGAATGCTTTCAAGTGCAGGTGCTGCGTTTATTGCTGGCTGTCATTAAGCTGGAATACGAGGTCGATTTTTTGCGCAATGATTTGGCGACCAATGGTGGCAGCAACTCTGCCTCAGCTGCCGGCAAGGATGAGGTCACAGGCAATGTATCGCCGACGCGCCTTGCCCAACTTAATGCCGAAGTAGCCAACTCGAATGTCAAGTACTTGCCCAATTGCCTGATTAGTCAGCAGCCAATGTTTTTGGCCGCCGTCCTCAGTGCGTTGCAAGACGAGCGTCTGCGACATTTGCATCGCAATTGGACGCATTTGGTGACCAGTTCACTTAACTGTTTCAACTTCGGATCACTGACCAACATCGTGATTAGTGTAGTGCATCAATTATGCAACAATATCGATCGCATTGCCAAACTGACTCTAAAGGAACAGGAGAACTTTCCCCCAGACTATGTGGTGTCGCAGCTAGAGGCCGTCACTATACTCTGTCATTATTGTTTGCTGGACAACACACAGCAAACGGCACTGTCGCATCTCTTTAATCAAGCATATCCGCAGACGAGTGCAGCCTCCCAAAGCTCCAACACGGGCCAGCTGCTCAACAACATTGTGCACTCGTTCCTATCCAGCAACGCCAGCAGCGCCTCCAGTGACGCACATATGCCGCGCAATCCACACCTACAGGCGGCACGCAATGCGGTACTCTCTCATCTGTCTCGCATCATGACCAGCGTGGCGGCCATTTGGGACAGTTCGCTGGGCCAAGTGCGTGCTGTAAAGCAACAGCTTATGGAGTTCCTGTCACCAGTGTCGCTCCATCATGGCTGCAATTTCCTAACTGCCGTAGCGGTTACATGGCAAGAGCGTGGTGAGGCCCATCGTCGCCGCTCGAAAATCACAAGTCAATTGTCAATAGCCGAGCAATTCCAACGCAACTCCATGCTACAGGCCTGCCCGGAGCAGCTGAGCTTGGTAGCGCTTGTATCGAGCATACGTGTCATGCCAATGGACTCATTTGTACAGACCCTGCATCTGGTGGTTAAATCACCGCCACCCATTCATCGGCCGCCCGCCTATCTGAGCATTGAGGTTAGTGCCCTAGAGTTGTTCTATTTCTACATGAAATCAGCGTCGGCCCCTCAACTTGCTGATGCCTGGGCCTCGTTGTTGGTGCTGATACGTGACGGCATGAATCTGACACCACCGGCTCAGTTTGCTCTGCTTATGCTGCTGAACGAATTCGTTCAGCGCTGCCCACAGATGCCGTTTCAGGACAAAAAAGAGGTACGGGAACTGCACGATGTCACTTCACGGCTAGTGGACTCGTTGTCGACCGTGGCCGGTGCTTGTCTAGAGCAGACGACATGGCTGCGTCGTAATTTGGCCGTCAAGGAGGACACTGATGGCAATACAAAGGATAATAGCATGGGTGGCATCCAACAGTATTCTCTGCAGGCCCAAAGTGTGTTGGCTGCCATACTCTCGAACCTGCTGGACGTCGCTTACGGTTCACAGGAGAAGGACAAGGTTGTGACTATTGTCACAACGCTGCTCTATAATATAACACCCTATTTGAAAAATCACACGGCACGCAATGTGCCCTCCTTTTATGCTTGCTCCGCGCTAGTGGCTAGCCTAAGCACTTTTCAGTACACACGCAAGGCGTGGCGCAAGGACATGCTGGATTTAATGCTGGACAATGCCTTCTTCCAAATGGACATCTCATGTCTGCCCTTCTGGCGTCAGATACTGGATAGTCTCATGACCTATGACAATACTACATTCCGTGAACTCATGACGCGCGTTTCACTCTCACAGGCGGGCAGTCTCAATATTTTTGCATCACGCGACCAGGAATATGAGTTGCGTTCCATGCTTTTGAAACGCCTTGCTTTCGTCATCTACTGCAGCGAGTTTGATCAGTATAGCAAATATATGCCCGACATTCAAGGTTTGTACTCTGGATCAAATGCTAGCCATTTACTTACATTTGTACATGCCCTTACAGAGCAATTGGTCAACAGTCTTCGTCTATTGCCCCTGGGACCTTCAGTGCAGGCTGCCGTTTTCTTATGCTTCCGCGTCCTGTTGCTGCGCATGTCGCCCGACCACGTTACCTCCCTGTGGCCCATTATTATTGCTGAAATGGTGCATGTATTTCTTGCCATGGAACATGAACTCAAATCAGAGAGCGACGATCGCAGGTGAGAGTAACAGCTTCTTGTACTTCACTGCGATATGGAATAATTCTAAACGATGGCTTTGTGTATTGCAGTCAACAATCACGTCTGCTAACCAGCATCGACATGTCTTGGTCATCGAACTCCACCAATAATGGCACTAGTTCACAGTCGCCCATGCAACATTGGCGGTCTGTGCAATTGGAGGCCTGTAAGCTACTCGAATTGGGCTGCGTGCTGCCAGCAACGATGCTGCCACACTTCCAAATGTATCGCTGGGCGTTTGTGGGCACCGAGTTCGATGCACACGAGGAGGTGCCGGTGCCCAATGGCGTGGAAAGCATTCCCAATTCTCTTTATGTACCGCATGTGCGTCGTGTAGCTCGGCTGATGGATATGAAGTACATCACCCACTCACCAGTAAGTCACAGTATCGACATTAAAAAAAAAAAAAAATCAAAAAACCAATCAAATGTTCTTGTTATATTTCCGCAGCTGCTAACTCGACGGAACAGCCATCATTTGATGCTTACATTCCAGCAAATTCAAACGCTGCAGGAGCTCTATCCGTTCTTCTCCACACTGAGCATTAGCTGCCCGAATCCGCACAACTTCGCGGACATGGAGAAGGATGTGAACGACTGTGTGCAGGAGATTGAAGAGCTATTAGCCAAGGACTTCTTGGAGAAGCTGCCGAGTAATACAACACCTAGATGAAAACTGGCAGTTGCCTTCAGGCAGTTTAGCATGACACAGTTTAATCTTGAGCTGGATGATGTAACTATGGGCGCGCCAGCGGGCAGCAGCAATTTTCCACTTGATTTCAGCTATGGAGTAGAGCCAAATGCTGGACAGACGGCACGTATCTTTGCGGCTTTTCAGTCGAAAATCACAAACCAAAATGCTGAGACAAGCTTCACACAAGTCACAAAGAAGACCAATTTTCCATTCTATGTTTAAGAAGTTCGGCAGGACAAGTGCAGTAGTGAATATTATTATGTAGAAGTATTAAAGGACAATATAAAAAATGTATGTTGTATATGTAGAAAGTCGAGCTGGCATAATAAATATGATTGATTTTTTGTTTAAAATGTTGCGAGTACAAGATATAGATATGTTTGGCTATTATATGATATGTAATTATGTAGGAATATGTACGTATGTTTGAACTGTTGATAAATACCTTGTAACGGAATAAATCGCCTGTTAACAAAACACTTTATTTATTTAAGTAAGCTAAAAAATTGTACATTGTATAAATGCCCGGCTAATTGAGTTTCTCTCCCGGTATATCGTATATTAATCTATGAGTCATCAGCGTAAAATATGTCATAATTATTATTAAAAATTTCTTGTATATAGGTACTACTGAATAGTATGCTTTTATACTCCATCTGATGAAACAATTAAAACAAAATTATCAACTTAATAGTTTCTTTTAAGTATTTGTTATATATCAACATACATATATAAACGTGCATATGTATATTTTTGAGTTTGGCGATGTTAAAATTTAAATAACAACAGAATGTTGCTGATTGGAGTTTCGATTCTTGAGTTGCAAACTGTACGAGTACACGATACGCGAACAAAAAACGTACAATACTGAAAAATAGAAATATGCAAATATAAGGCCTTATCTGCTTAAAGTTTTAGAAACACAAATACTTACTCAGCTGTATGATGTAGATAAACAAGGCCACAAACAAGTTACTGGATCCGGTTCCTTCACGATAGCCCCCAAAATGGAATATGGTACCGAATACTGCAATAGGCCAGCCAATGAAGAAGCACGCGGCGTGAATTAGCCAAACGAACACCAGGATATAGTTAGACTGCAATTAATTAAATGCTTAACTTCAGTATGGCAATAACTTGGTTAGAAATCGTTACACACCTTTAAACAACCAAGCAGCAGACATATATTTCCAATTACCACAATGACAAATCCAATGAAGCTCATGACTTTAGAGTATTGACGATAATAGATATAGAGAAAACGCGTTAGAATGTTAAATCAAAACAAAAAACGTTTTGACAAGGTAAAAAACCCAATGGCAAAAAGCTTTTTTAAAAATAATAGGTCATGTATTACAATAAATACTATGTGCGGTCATACGCCTACAAGTATAAATACTCGTACATGTGTACATAGTACATATATTGTATTTAATTTTCCAATTCAACATTACAAGTATTATGTACCTATGTGTTTACAACTCAATTCGCAAGAATACATTCACGGAATGAGTTACACATTAAATGACTTACAGAATTACAGCTGTTTCTAACTGGCCGAAAATTTGTTGAAAAAAACGTTTAAAAAAATCGGTTAAAACAAACTCGTATAGCGAATAAGGCATCGTGGTGCAAAATTTGGTGTCTCTGCCACGCTCCTTCTGCCTGTAACAGTTTTACCCTCCCGCAAACCTAATGTACTCTTGTACATTTTCATGTGCAGAGTATAAAAAGTGATTATATACAGTTTTAAAAATAAATCAAAACGACGTGTTGCAGTTACGCATTTTAAGCATATTAAGTGTAACATTATATACGGAAAAATGATTTCCAAATGCTTAACAATCTGAAATGTATATTACAAATTACACATTTTAATAAAAACATCAAAAATGTGTGTATAATACAAATATACCTATATATGTATGTATATAATAATAGTAGCATATTTGTAAAATTCCAAAGGAATACAAAGAAAACTGCTCTCGGCAGTGCTTGGCTAAAAAGCGAACAATTCAAGGGTTCGATTCGAAAAGTTGACTCGGACGACTTACTGCAGAAATTGTATTCATATTTTAATTTTGATGATGTTTTTATAAAAATACTTATGTATTTTGTATATGTATGTATATATATTAGATTATTAACCATTTGATCTGCATTTTGATTTGTATAAATGTCAAAGTTAATTTTTCTGTAAACTGCAGTATTTAAAAAGTATACGTATAGCCACACTTAATATGCTTAAAATTCGTAACTGCACAGCGTCGGTTTCATTTGTTTTTAAAACTGTATATATGTACATAATAGTTTTTTCATTAAATCGTACGAGTTCATTATGAGTTAATAACATTAACCAACCATCGATGTTTTATGCGATGCATCATTGGCATTCTCTTATATGGGGTGGTGGTACCATTAATTTCCATTCATCTTATAAAACTCACATATGTACATATGTATGTATATTATGCCTTTCTAACGCGAAACAAATTTGGTATGTACATACATATGTATCTACATATGTATGTATGTACATATATTAGCCGTAATATTAGAACAGCATGCCGTGGCGATAAAATAGTCTATGTTTCGTTGACGTCATGATTCAACAAATTTTAATAAATTTTTAGATGACATGCGCGCGACTAGAACAAGTTTGGCTATAGACAATGCATTAGCTCATCTTTATATGCATACATACATACATAAATATGTGTGTATGTATGTATGTATTCATGAGCAATATGTTTTTACAGTCGGTTAAAAAATATAGGGGTGTCCCTGCATTCCAATCACATTTCGTTACAGCACTTGCTGGGATGTAAAGGGGGAATATTATACATTTTTAAGGTTATTGACTATATATTATAATTATTCTTTAGTTAAATACTATTATCATGTGCACAATAGCACAATATTTTAGCACAATTTTTTAAATATTTTGGAACTGCACCGAAAGCCAACTCTAAAATAGAAAATTCACAATTAAAAAAAACTTGGAATTCAGTAAAAATTTAGGATGTATTTTTAGAAAATACCGTAATCTTTCTACAATTGTTCACATTTTTTGGGGCTTGGTGTCCAACGATACCCTTGAAAATTGCAGGCCGCCGCATATTCCCGAATATGGAAATTAATATTCTTTATATGAACAGATGTGTTTGTACCGACATACATACATATGTACATATCTACATATAAATGTACGTATACAAATTTGGGCTTTACAATAAATTAAAAATATAAATGTTTCTATACATGCATATGTATGTATTTAATTACATATAAGTATATCAGCGTTTATGGATTGATGACACACATAGTTTTATTTGCATATAATATAAACATTTAAATAAAGAGTAAGAAAATGTATATGTATGGTTGCTACTGTATGCTAACAAACATGGGCACTGCCGCGCCTTTTCTCTATACATGTTGATTTGACTGCGTCATCTTTTGTCTTACCACTGGGCAATAAGATCACATTTAAAGTGATGGACAGAAGAAAATATATGGCGATGCCCATGCACCAGCTACGTAACTCTGAATTACAAGGTCCTGACTCCACGACGAGCTTCATTTTAAAAATGGTAGCTTTGCAATGTTTAGAATAATTTCCAAAACAATAACAAAATAAAAAAACCGGTTCCAGACGCGCAACCGCAAGATATGTAAGTAAAAAACGTCCAACGCAATCAACAGCAAACGACAACTGAATAGATGTGTCTAAGTTTGGAGCAGCTTAGTGAATGTTGGCGTTGGGGCTGTGTTATGTACGCATGTGTGTGTAAATATAAGCGGGACTCGCTACCGCTGGAAAAATACGACAGGCATGGTTGCGTTTATAAAATACCGTGTGCTTTAATTCATTTAATTACACATACATAAGTATATGATAATATATGAAAACACACAAGCCCGATATACATATGTATGTACATATGTACATACATATGTAGCTTCCATTACTCAAAACGCTTTTTCTTTTGAAAAGATACTTTTATTCTTTAGTCTAGGTAGCACTTTTCTAGCAATCTGGCAGGGCTAGCTTTCACGAGTATGGCTACACTTCCAAATGACGATCGGGAAAAAATTCATTTGCGTCGAAATTAACGCTGAAGCAACTTCGGAAAGGTTCGTGCGCAGTTGCATTTGCACTTGATTATAAATACATATGCACATAGGTGCATGTGTTTCATTATATTATTTTGTGGTTTGTATTTTGTAGGCCACTGTGGTAAAACCCAAACGTAATTCTTCAAGTGTCATTGCAACGCAAAAAAGGGGAAAAAATGTTGAACAAGTGCTGTTTCATGCGACTCCATACCGCTGGTATGGTGATTGGCTGGGTAGGCATTGTGGGCTCCTTCATCTCGGTAATTGTACTTTCCGTCGTGCTTGCCAATGTGGACGAACTGGTCAAAGCCATAGTGGACCATGATCCGAATGTTAACGGCGCTGGAATTCGCACCGGTAAGTTTTGAAAATATCAAATTGCTTTGGTTGGGTTGGAAATCTACGACGAATCCTCATCTTTTACAGGAGTTGTTGTTTTTTGCTCTATCGCGTTGGCATTTGCCATTATCAATCTGTTGTCTTCAACGATGCTCGTCGTGGGTACTGTAAAGGTCGGTGGTTTTTTCAAAATAATTTTTTTTGTTCTAATTTCTTTTCTTTTTTTTTTGTCTGTTGTATTTTGCTTTCTACAGGAGCGTCATTTAATGTTGGTGCCTTGGCTAGTAAACTCTGGTGCGGCCCTATTCTTTAGTGTGATCCAAAATATCACAGTTTGGATCATGATGATATCGAATAGCGCCCCAGTGAGCGAAATATTACCATATTTTCTTTTCGCTGGCCTAGCTCTGGGTAAGTGTGAGTCCCCGAATCACTGTTGGTGTTTCGTATCAGCATTTCCAGGAATAACAAATAAACAAGTGGGTGTTTAGTATTAACTGTACATATACTATGTATGTATTCATGTACATTTGTACTGTACACAAAAGCACATACATACATATGTACATATTCGTGTGAGGTATGTACATACATATATATTGTGCACATTGTGTTGAATTGTGAAATTCCATGCTCTTCCGAATTCAAGTTCTTATCTCTCTGTATGAATGTGCATATGTATGTGTATATTTGTGCATTTAGACATCGGCTTTATTTCAGTAAGACAAGCAAGTTTTTAAATGCCGGTCGTCTCTCTTTCTTTCTCTGTTTTTATAAAAATACTTATGTATTTTGTATATGTATCACTGTTGGTGTTTCGTATCAGCATTTCCAGGAATAACAAATAAACAAGTGGGTGTTTAGTATTAACTGTACATATACTATGTACATATGTATTCATGTACATATGTACTGTACACAAAAGCACATACATACATATGTACATATTCGTGTGAGGTATGTACATACATGTATATATTATGCACATTGTGTTGAATTGTGAAATTCCATGCTCTTCCGAATTCAAGTTCTTATCTCTCTGTATGAATGTGCATATGTATGTGTATATTTGTGCATTTAGACATCGGCTTTATTTCAGTAAGACAAGCAAGTTTTTAAATGCCGGTCGTCTCTCTTTCCAGCTTTCCAGTTCTATATCTACTATGGAATCTATTCACTCTTCAAGCACATCCAAGCCGGTGGCGATCAACAGAGCCCTCTGATTCGTCCAGTTCCACAGCAATCGGGCACCACTTATCCCAGCTATACAAAAATGTAATCCATGTTTCGTGATTAGTAGTCGCATTGCGTGCTACCAGCATTATATACTAAAATTGTTACGAGTGCTTAAAACTCGACCGATATTGTGTTTAGCGATTATTTTGAATTTTTTATGTACGTATTTAAAATAACGGCTCATTATCTGTATTTACTCAGCCAGTGACAAACAATATATATTTTCTTTATATACATAATATCTATAAACAATAAATATAACCCCTGAAAAAATATAATATTTTGATTGAAGAAATAATTTAAAGTAAATAAAAAAACCCTCACTTTAAATATCTTACATCTGAAGAAAAGAAATACCCTGAAACTCACTGACTAAACTGAACTCTGATCGCCTGCTATGCATTTACAAAATATTCAATTCTGAAGGAATACACGTATACTCATTTTATTTATATACATTTGTATGCTAATGTTGGCTAACTTTTAATTCGGGTATTTACGCACAGTGATTAGCTGGTAAACGGTTAACAGTGAAATGCAGCCCAAATGCTGTTTTAGGAGCTTGTCATTTAAATTACCTTCAGATAACGCGAAAATATTATTATATTATTCCCTTCAATACGTCTTTCAATTTTTCGGATGTCAATTCGCCAGCTTTTTTAGGTAGTTCTGATTTATCTTAAGTTTTTTTTTTTTCAGGAAAAACTCACAAGTGAGGTACATATGTATATGTGTGGATTTAGAGTTATTGATATGAAATAAAACCACGAAGATTTGGTCATTTGCATGACATTTTCAATCCTTGTATTTGGAATCAATTGCTCAAGTCTACGATTATTTACATTGACACACAGCTATAACTAATTTACCATAAAGGGGCATAGTTGGGCAGATTCGCAAGTCGCATTCGTTTTAACCTAAGGGGATGAATGGGTGGGTCCAATTTACTGTCATTTACCGAGGCCTAGCCACATGTAGCTTGGATCGATAAGCTGTGAGCCTTGGTAGCCGTCCGGATTTCTGGAGACCAATGAGCGTATTTTTTGCGAAGGTCTGTAGGTGCGAATGGCTTGCAGTAGCTGAGACGTTTTCAAGTCCTTCTGCATGTCTTGATTGTACCTGGCCTCGTGCAATGGATGCGGATGCACACCTTCCAGCAGTTGGGACTCTGCTTCGCCCAATTGTTGTGATTGCTCGGCAAAGAGCACGTTCGCCTTGAGTTCGTTGAAAAAATCGCCTAGGTTGGTCATGACTCCTGGAAGGCAATTAAGCACTTAGCAATCCGAAATCTATCACCTTATCAATGTCACCTACCAGCACTGATCGTAGGCAAGAACATCTGGCGGTCATAGTTCCCCGGTTTTCGCTTCAAGTTGTGTGGTGGTGGACGGCCTTGTGGCCAAACATAGCCATAGGGATATCGTGGCTCATTATTCCCCTCATTCTTCTCTCTAGGTGGCCATTGTATGGGTGTTCGTTTGCCCACGCCGCCGGAACGCAATGTAATGTCAGGAGCCATGACACTCGGCCAGTCAGCCGGAGATTGCAGGTCCACCCACACCCGGCGCACCTGCAGCTTCTTCATATATTTATCGTACCTTTGATGCAAAAGACGCCATTGTCTTTTCAAGTAGGGCGGAAGTGCGACATTGCGTTGTGGGAAATGGAAATTGCCTGCCATATTGGCGGCAGCAGCATGTTCTTCTTCTCGTGGCACCATTTCCCGATTTACAGTTTTCGGCAAAGGGCTTCCGCTCTCGCTGTTCCCATTATCCATCGCATTTTGTTCTTGCTCACGAGTAATGCTATACGAAGTCGCTGGCCATGCTGCTTCGATGATGAGGGCTTGACGCAGCGGGGCTATTCGCGGAAAGGGGTGAGAAGACGGTAACGGGTGAAGAAGGTTAGAGTGAGTTCACATTTAACTGCGTATGTCCATATGTCCCAGCCAACTTAAGTACTAGCTGTAATCGAGTAGCTCCAATCAATAAGGAAGTCAAATTTCCGGTTTTTCTATCAAGATTTCAATTGGTAATTAATGCAGGTGCAATTAATTGCTAGCCAATAGACCCATTAGCCGACGGACGGACCCATTTCTATTTAATTTTAACCCTGACTGTTCCTTTCTTATTTGGTCATTTTAACTAGTACTTTAAAATAAAGCTAAATGTTTTTTTTAGAACATAAAGCAACTACTTTCTGAGAGGCACTTGGTACTTCTGCCATCGTAAAGCATCAAAGTCACATTTCTGTGTAATATTTGCAATATATATTCACAACATAGTTATTACAGAATGTTTTGGCAGAAAATTAAAAAGCATTTGATTGCCAATAAATAATAGTTATATAAAAAGGGTAAAATTAGCTTGGATACTAAAATCGGATCATTTATTTACCTTATTTAATTTATTTATTTTTATGTCATCAAACATGGACCGTCGACATAAGGAAACAAAGTCAAAGTTATATAAGCTAGTAAAGCCTATGTACGATTAATCTAATCAAATAACAATAAAATGGAGAAACATTATTTGCCTTTCGGGCTTGTATCAAATAAATACGATATTTACACGTCGGGCACTATTTTTCAGCTTGAAAGTGAGACGATTCTCTGCTACATAGCTTTTACAATCCTTCACACAAAGCAGTTTCTTTATTTTAGCATTTATCTGTCAATGCAGAATGCGTTTGTCTATTCAATCAATTCATCAACATCATAAATTAAATGTTGTGTAATAAAATCATAATTTTAGATAAAAAGAACTTTTCTGCCATTTTACTATAGTTCCATATGTTCTATGTGAAATAAAAATCATCAGCTCTAGAACCGAGGGATTAGCTTTCATTTCTAGCCACAAACTTGTCTAATTAAGCAGTCAAAATTATAGAGCTAGCATTTATATGTTTCAAATATTCCTTTTATTAATTCATATAAAATAAATTATACGATTATATATGTACATACATGCTATTGTATTACGAGTACAAGTATAAGTATTAGGGAACAATGATTGAGCGTTCGTCGACAAATTTTTTGTTTTTCTTTACTACTTAATAGATGAACTCTCTCTTTCTAAAAGCTTATCTTTTCAGCTATCTCCGATAAAATATCCGACCAACAGGGATATATGTATGTTGATGGACTGGTAATAAATCTTATCGGCATGACGAAAAATCGATTTAGACATCTTCGTCCACAACACAGCACATTAACCAAACTTGGTATGACTCTCCTAGTTCCTAGGCTACACAGGATATATTTTATTTTTTTGATTTTACTCCAGATTCCCCGCTTTAGATTTTCGTTAACTCTTTAAACAATTTCATTCCGGTACTACGCCCCCAAACTTCAGGAATAGGTTCGCTCTTCTTCATCCGTTTGCTTCTGAATGGGCTCATCTAACTTATCGCCGGAAGTTTGTTTGAGTACAGGGTATTTGACTGTAGGGCTTGCTCGACATTAGCATTCTTTCTTGTTTAATATTGTTTGTTAGGTCTGATTCCATTTATCCTATTCAGGATTTTTTAAAACTTATAAAGCTTTATTTATATAAGTAAATAAATCCACTTTTCTGGTAGGTTGTGGTCTGACATGTAAATAATTTGCACACATATTCATCAAATTGTCATAAAATGTCAATATTATGTTATCTATTTAAAAGTGAACAATAATTCGATGCTAAAAGATAGAACAAAGCACTTGGTAAGTTACTTTTTGTTGTATATTTGTAAAATATAACGTATAAGTTTGCAAATGGCTGATCGTAGTTTTATTGTTATTTCAGTGAACTGGTGTTACAAATTATTTGCTTGTGTGATTGTGTCTAGGACTAACCTGAGAAAAATTGCATAAATAGCAATATGAATCGAAAGGAACACGAACGGCGCATCGCGCGTTGCTAACAAGCCCGCTGCCGTTTCAGTTAAAAAACCATTCGGTTGTTTAAAACAATTATATTGTTAGCTTAAAAGTTACTATACACATTTTAAACAATTGACTGCGATTCATGTAATTTGCGTTAGTGTTTCTCTTTTCGAAATATAGTAAAGCGATTGAGTGAAGACAACTACTGAAAATCACATCTGAGATCAAATTCCACTTCAAAGGTGTACCGCGACTGACAGCGAAAGGAATAAGCCCATCCGTTTTTATAGCACACAGGACGAGAGAATTGTCTATGGCCGAGGGCACCTGTTGTCTTCTCGTTTGCACAAACGCAGCGAAAGTCGCAGGTGGCGCATCCATAGAGCATCTTCGGCCACCCGACCAGGACTACTGCTCGGGACATGCGCAACTTAAAGGACGCAAAATCAGCAGCAGCAGCAACAACAATTGCACGCGAAGAAGCAGCGAATGTATCGTTAAGTGCTCAACATGGGGTTTGAAATCCATTTTTGTAATATTCACAAAGCAATTGGCAATTGGAGTAGACTTTGTATCCTATGTCCTGTTTGATTCTTGGTATGACGTCGAATGCCATAACGGCTGCTTAGCTTGCATAATAGAGCAATAGAGCTCAGGTGACTTAAATGCCTTTTGGATAGCAAAAAAAAAAAAATGGAAAAAGGCTTGGGTAGCGGCTGCTTGGGGTTTCGCACAATTATCCTGTCATATTGCACAACCGTAGGTAAAATTTCAATTTGAAATTCTTCGCTGCTCTGCGTGGTGACGTCAACTCAATGGTTTTTAAAATATTTAGCTTTTATAATATAATTGGGTCAGTATCTGGGTATCTACGTTTTGTTATCACTGATTCTGCCTTTTTGCATTCAAGGCAAATGGCCAGACACTACTTGTATGCTGCAACTTTCTGTCTAGTTGTTGCTTCTTTGACAGGCTCTCGAATTGCACAAACACTTAATTAGATTGGTGTGCAGTGGCTACACTTTAAACCAGCAAAGAGCACCCAGAGTGTCCTTTTTGTTGCGCTAATGGCACTCATTTACCCACCCTTTGAAAAGTGGCACAAAGTGTTTAAACAGTTTGCTTAATGGAGCCAATGCCATGCTACGAACTTTAAGAATTAACAAACTTTTCTCTGCCGACATCGGCAGATTTGCATAATGCATGAGAGACTGCAATAAATGCATAACACACGCACATATTTACATGTTAATCAAAGCTTTAGTTGCTGTTGAGTAGAGTAAATTGTTAATTAATCTCAGAAAATTGATTTGCTTTTTAAAGTTTAATATTGCAACATAATTCAAGACTGATTCCGGATGCATATGCCCTTAAATATTTATATAACGTTTTAGCTTTCGGGCAACTTGTAGTTAATAGCAAGTAAATTACTTTGTGGAGTACTTAGTTTACTTTAGAGGATGTGGATTGTTAAAGTTTACATTGAAATTGACATTGTCGTTTGGTTACGATAGCGAAATAAAAAAGAAAGGGTTTTATACTAAGTGCGGGAAAGGTACAAGAGTACATTAGGTTTGTTATATATATGTGTTCTTGATCAACATGACAAACCGATTTATCCGTATCTGTCTGTCAGTCCGTCATTCCGTACTGACACCTACGTCTCAGAGAATATAAGAGCTAGAGGCACCAAATGTTGTATGCCGAATAAGTTCGTTTTATTTGCTTGATGTATGTATCTCCCCTCTCCCCCTCTATAAGTGATTTTCCATAACTCCGTTCGTATAGAAACCTAGATCTCAGAGACTATAAGAGTTAGAGACACCGTGTGCAGTGTAAATGTATTTCAAAAAATGCCTGCTTCCCCCACTTCCCCGCTATACGTAAGTGATTTTCCATAACTCCCGTAATTTTTTGAATGTTGTCAATTAAATCCATTTAGTTTCATCGCGGTAGGCCAATTAAAAAACAAGTTATAGCCATAAGTGCGCAAGCTCTGCCAGCAACTGTTGTTGTTGTTGTTCCTGCTTTGGCTGTTTTCTCGATTTTTTTTTAAATTTTTTTAATTGTTTTAAATTAATTAAAAATGTTCGCCTTGACTCACTGATAAAGGATATATATAAATTTTGTCCTTAATCCTTATGAAACAGACAAAATTTCAGCTTGAGTTTTATTTTTGATCAAAAAAATAAAAGTCAAAGAATAATCATTATTCTAGCTTCTGTGGACAATTTCGTTTCTCCAAAATACACATTTTCTGCGTACTCACATAAATGCCTTATATGGACTTGGACTTCAAATTTGATGTCCCTAGGTCTTATAGTCTCCGAAATATAGGCAATTATACGAATGGACAATCGGGAAATCAGGGATGTATCTATCTCTTACTGTCTTTGAGATCCAGGTGTTCATACGAACGGACAGGCGGATAGACAGACAGATAGGGCTAGATCGACTTGTCTTGCCATGCTGATCAAGAATATATATACTTTGTGGAGTCTGCCACGCCTCCTTTTGCTTGTTACATTTTCAGCTTCCGCAAATACAAGTATAAACTCCTAATATACTCTTGTATATTTCATGTACAGAGTATAAAAAGATGACTGCAATTGAAAATGTAATACTCAACATATGGTAATATAGTCCGGTTTCGGCTTGGTATTAAGTTAAAGTTGCTGAAAGCTTTTTCTGTTATCAGGCGAGTAGTTAAACAGCGCAGCGCAAGCAATAGTCGCTGTAAGCTAACCACCCCCCTCAATCGCTGTAGTGTTTCAATTCCATGCCGTTTCAAGCTTTCGCTTTGCCAATCAGAACTTTTGTAACGGCGCTCTTTCAACAGCGGTTCAGTCGCATTTAAGCTTTTGTGAAGTGAAGTTGTTGACTGCGCAAAGCTGGCGTTTCGACCACAGCAGCGGATAATTGGCTTGAAAACAGTTAAATTCATGTAAATTGTACTGTGTATGATTAAGGACTCGCCGCTGCCTGTGTGTTCTGGAGAACTACAAGTGAATGAAAGTGAATTAATTGAAGCAAATTAAGCAGTCAACGAAAAAAGGTGCGGCAGTAAGTTTTATGACAAGGAATCCTTCAACAATATGTACAACATGTGAGCGAGAGGGGGAGTGAAAAAATGAAGTTGCACAGTGCGTGCCAGCACACAAGTTGAAGTCCTTGTGGTTGCATTGGGGGGGGGGCTAACATTTTGGGGCTAGGTGGAAAAGCTCTCCACAGCAATAAACGCGCAAACGCGTCCAGTATGCCGCTCAAATATTTGGTCCTTATACAAAAACACAAAACGGCTGTTTTTCGATTTCCCGCTCAAAATTGGCTGCAATGGGTTGACGACCCGGAACGAAAATAAAAATGCCGGCACTCACTACCTCACTTACCCGCTGAGTCGCGCATTTATTTAGTGACTCGCACTTTCGTTAGGCTGTGGGTTGCCTTGCCATTGGGATTTTGTGTACTGGCCGGTCTTTCCTAGGGGTGGCTCATAAGCTATGCCCGCTGGGCATATGTTGCGTATGTGTAATATTTACTGAATGCGCATTAAAAAGAAATCATTGTGGGTGTTGTTTATTTAGCCCACATTCCCACTAGTTGTTTGCCATATTTGTGCCTGCTCTTCGGCTACCACGAATTGGTACTTGAATTGGTGCCGGGGGCTACAAAAGCGCTCTTCAACTGTCACACGCGCTAAATGTGCTAAATATTTATGAGTGTAGGGGAATCTACATACATAAATCGTGAATTAAAGACGTACAAAACATGCAACTTGGTTGGAATAGACGCTCGATTTCCGCTTAATTTGCTAAACAAATTGCACAGCAGAACCGGTTAACCTTGATTCTAAGACAATTGCAAATTGGCCAACATATAGTCAACTGCATGCAATTATTACTAACTTGCTTAATCATCAATGAAGCGTGCCAGTTGCCATTGCAAATTCAACATTTATCTGCCATCCATTGTTTCCAAGAGAAGAATAACAATAGCAAGCAAGATAGAATGTTCCAGTCGCTCAGTTCTGATAGTGGAATACCCTGCACACCAAAAAACTTTGGTAATTTCTTCTCAAAAGGCTTGTACAAAATGTAATTTGTATTTCAAATTGAAAAAAAGATAGAATAAACTACGTAAGCAAAGTTTATTTTCTGTAGGTTGTGAATTTCTTACCAAGTTATATCTAGGGAGATGGTCGAAGCTTGAAAATTTAATTTTCCTCATCTTCTTGCTCAGGAATATATATACTTTTGTACTAATTGGACTTTATTTGATGGGTGCTGCTTCCATTTCATACATTCCCACTAACTTAATAGACTCTTTGTACCCTTCCGTCGCAGAGTATACAAATAACACCAAATTTGTCTGCGCTCTATGTAGAACCGGTTCAATGTTTGCACATATTGTCGTTATCGCCAGCCGTCAGAAAATATTGCTGAATGGCGACAAACACTGCTCCCAGTACCGTCCCCAGTACACCCCCCACCTATGCTGCTGCGGCTGCCACCGACTCTGCCGTTACCTACTGGCCGCTTTGGCCTACGTGGGGCGCATACGTTTGTAGCTCATTTGGTTGTTAATTTGAATTTCACACACACGCTGCGATCAAGTCTGCGGTGTCGGCCGAACCGCACCGTCCCGCAACTTCGACTGCTGACTGTAGCCAAAGATGAGTGACTGTTTATTTTCTGGCTGCTGTTTTTTTTAACGACTAATATACATTTATATTTAGCTTTGCTTCCAGAGCTTGGTTTTTTATTCCATATATTTTGGTTTTAGTCACGTCGAAAATATTGAGAGGCAATGAAGCTGCTATATTTTTCAGCATTTTCCGCAACGACTTCACAACAAATTTACAGTATTTTAGCATGTCGTCAAGGCCGCAAGGGTTACCAGGATGAGCACTTCCTGGACTTATTTATAGGGCGTATGTGTGCGTGCTTGTAAAACATTGTTGTCAGTTCCGTTAGGTGTGCCATAAATAGACAACCACCCCTAAGACGAAAACAGCACCTTGCTGTGAGAACAAAAGCTGTCAATGACATAACTTAAGTATACAAAAACAAATTTAATAAAAAGTCATAAGTTCGACATTCAAAAAGCTTAAAATTTAATTTCAAATTTTGTTAAATACTAAGAATTGACATAAACGCATAAATAAGAGGAAACAAAATTTGATAACAAAATGCAAAAGAAATATTTGGAATAGTAGAATAATAAAGAAGAGCCAATACTGCCATATACACAGATTTGTATTCGCAGTACATATCCCAATTAATGATAAAATATTAGGTGCAGTTTTTATACAGCTCATCAAGGATATATTATTTAGTAATTAGTCTACACCACACGCCTAAGATAAGTCGGAAGGCTTGAAAAATGAATTTGTCCTGTTTGTGCACAAATTGAATCGTTTTTTTATACTTTAAATAAAATTAAAATTGGTGATTTAATACTATATAGTATTTTTAATTCAGGAAGTAAACTGCAGAAAAAATCTCAGAAATTTAGCATTACTATTGGGCATAAGACATTTGGATGAGAATCTAAATAGATAGGACCACAGGTTGGACGCATCTTTAATTGTAACCATCATCTGAGCAATTTCAAGATACTCGGTTCACAGCTTTTAAATGCAGGGTGTAAAAAGTAAAAAAAATCGAAACCAAAACATTCTCATTAACTATTTCAAAGCACAGCTAGTTAGTAATGTTGTTGTTATTGAGACAACCGCAGAAAAATGGTTGAAACTGTAAATAGCGACCCTGGAGGGCTGTTTCGATTACAGTTACAAGTTGCAGTTGCAGCGGTCGGCATACGTTGCTCATACGCCATGTATGCCAGAGATGTTGCCGTTTGTTCCGCTTGGCAAATGGCACATGAAACACTGACCCCACCCAAAATGCATGCGAGTGGCCCCAAATAGCAAAACAAAGGAGTACAAACGTACACATCGACTAAGATGCACACAATAATGTGTGCACTCAGATAAAAATGAGTTTTGTTCTCTAAACCATCACATAATGCCGTTTTGGCCTTTGAGTCTAGGTTATTAAAACGAGCCCTTTCTTCAAAACATTTTCGGTGAATCTTTTGGATTGCATGGGTAATGCAACATGAACAGAAATTGTCAAGATCCCGCACAAAACTACCATATTCTTTCATTTATGGATAACTCTTGAAACAATTTATTAAGTGCTAATACTTGTAAGTAACAACTGAAAAGCATTTAATAACACAATCGGTAATTCTAGTCAATTTTTGCATAGAATTTTAGAAATTCTTCATACAGCTATTTCATATTTAATTAAAGAAAACTCAAAAGGGAAACATACTCAATAATTTAATGTTCGAAATTGAATAAATTTAAGTCGCATTCCGTCTAGATTTCGTCTTCCTATTTTTCTCCGTGTGGCTGCGTATGTGCAGGCTTGTGAGCGTTTGTTGTGTTTTTGGTTTTGGTCTTTTTCCTTTGTTGTGTTAAATTTCATTTCGTTCTGTTCCTCACGAGTTTATGTGTCAAGTCCGTTTTGAAACAATTCCGGTGGGCAGTTAAGTGAACTAAATAGTGGCCCGTGTGTTGGGCTTCTTGTCTGGTATTAGCCGCTCGTGCGGGGGTTGGAATGGTCCGGCCATTGCTCCCAGCACAATTGCGCCCTCAAGCATGGCGTGCCGCTTTAGTTGGTCGCTCGTCACGTTGTTGTTGTTATTGTTGTTGGTGTTAATGCTGTTGTTGTTGCTGTTGTCTTTTTTTTTAATGTGTGCAACTTGTCAGTCAGCCACTGAGGCAGTGGCCGCTGTTTGCTGTTTTCTGTTTGCAGCTGAAATTGTCGTTAATTTGTTGTGTTTTGTTACGCGCTCAGCAAAGTGAAATTTGTAGATTTATACATTTTTTGTTGCTGGTATTTGTAAAGTTTTGTTTTAATGCACCGTTAAAATTCGTAACGTTGATTTCACACAGACAATCACACATGCCGCCCAATAACCATTATACTATAAGTACTTATGCCGTACTGGGGCTATCTCTCGTTTTGTTGACCCCAGAACTTTCGAAGCGTGGTATGTCTTTTATAAATATACATAAGTATGTATATATGTATCCCACATGCTATGTGGGATTTATACAAACATGCACGTACTTATATTCATATAAAGAGGAGCATTATCGATTTATATAAAGTTGACGAGTGAATATTTAATTGAAATTTTCACGAAGTTTTCTTTAAATAACGAATTGTAGAATGAAATTCTATTTCAAAACATGGTTTGCCTAGGGAAATAAAGAAAAGTCCGTATTTATATTTGTTAGATTTCAATACGTCAGATTTATACGCTTAGAAAACCACCAGTAGTGATACGGGTGGGACATACATTATTAATTTTTTTTTCATTTTTTTCTTTTTATTCTTCTGAAATTTCCGGCTTGGGGGGAAGAGTTTATGAGCTAATCTTATTTCCACTTCAATTGAAAGCTTAGTACTTTTCTTATCGATATTCATTGGTGGAAATTGTACTTTATAATTGTAAGTGCATAGAATATTCGTAAATTCATTTCCCTAAACTGTTGACAGACAGCAAAAGAAATTTTTATGTTTTTGCATTGCGTGCGTTTCGGTTTCCAGCCATAAATAAATATTTGTGCCCAATGCAGTCGGCACTCAAATTGTCTAAATAAACCGAAACCGAAAGCTGAAACTGCTGACGGGGGCACCTGCCTACAGCAACAACAACTGTTGTGGTGCAAAAAGTGCCTGTAAGTAGAGCCGCACAACCACACACACAACTAAGTGGGCTGGAAGTGCAATTAGTCAAACATAAAGCGGCTGGCAAATGCGCAAATTGCATGTGACATACAAGTACTACTATATAATATTTCTCTACCATATCCTGTGAGCTGGCATGTAAGGACTGCCTTCATCATCATCAGTACGCAAGTTAACCCAAATACGGCAAATTGTGGAAACACAACTGAGACTATGCCCACAACAATAGTTTAACGGCAACAATAGATGCGGAGCCACGAAACCGCAGCTTCTTGTACCCGTGTTTGGTGTGTGGGTCATGGGGGGTGTCTTTTAAAGTATTAGCACTTAACCTACTTTCTTCTAGCTGCTCGGATGCTATTCACTTTCACATGCCAGAAATGAGCCAGGATGATATCATTTCGTCAGAACGAGCGTTTTTTTTTTCTATTTATTTTTTTTATAGCTACCCTCAAACCGTCACGCATAAAGCTTGACCTAAATATCGTGTTTAACGTACATTGTGGGCGTCAATTACAAGCTACATACTTATTGATTTTTACTCTCTATCCACCACCCACAGCTGCAACTCAAAAGGAAACTGCCAAATAAAAGACTGACACATTTTAGGGAGCATACCAAAAAGCTCAGACCAACAATTGAGCAATACAAAAAGGCAAACAGGACCAACTGAAAGTATTTGAAGTTGAACCTTGCTGAGATGTTTTAAGAGGTGGCACGTTCGTCTCTGCGTCAACAAACCTGAAACTGTTGCGATAAGCCCAAAAGGAAACGCATTTATTCGGCAAAATGTTTTTGCCAGTGAAATCCAATCAGTAAGTAAACAAACTTAAGCTCTGGGTAGTGCAGAAACTAAAATAAACCATGCCTGATGGTACGTGAAAGATAATGCCACATTCCTTCTGAATTTCATTCATATTTTATGATTTAGCACAGACACCAACCCTGTCAAACGACTGTCCTTTTGCGTCGTTGGGAGTAACCCTCAAAATCAAAACATACATAATTTTTTCAACCGCCATGTCTGACAGTCTGTCTGAAGTGTGAGGGGTAAGGGGAGGTGGCGTCATATTGGCGACACATAATCATCAATAATGTTCGACTTTAAGTGGAAACGCTAGGAATAAATAAACCCATACCTATGCTTTCTAAGCAGTCATGAAATTAAAGCCTTGAATCCGCAAGAGAGTAATTGTTGGTTCACTAAAAGGGTTGATTACATTTCAAAACAGCTTTACTATTTTCTTATTATATAAGAATCGCTAAAAATCCATGTATTATTGGGGTAATATAAGGATTATCTTGAATAAATGCTTTAATTTTACTTACATGCAAAAAATAAAATATAAAATATTCATTAATACTTATTAATTATTATTTTTTAAATATTGCAATTATTTATCATTTATTCATCATCAAAATGGTTCTGTTCTTAACTTTATTTGATATCCATATTTTTACAAGATATTATTTATACAAAGTTTAAGTTTTCGAATACTTTTTTAGAAAAGTTCCTTCATGTTTAAAAATACCTGAGTGAAAAGATGTTTAAAGAATTTAAGAATTATTATATTAGTGCTTTATTTTCATTTATTTTGTTGCCTAATTTCAAAGGCGGTGCTACTTTAAAATTTGATTTTACTCCACAAATTATTAGGCATAGAGCTGCCAACTCGAACTCGAGAGACTTTGACAAACCAGAGCTTGCATGAATATGCATATTAATTTTCCTTTAGTATGTCAGGAAAATTTGTGATAATCTTCAATAATTTGTGAAAATCCAGTAAACAGAAGAATAAATATTACATACAATGCCTTTTGTTAGGGCCAGAAATTTGAAGAGATATAGGGTCAGGTAAGAAAGGGCAAGGAATTGCATGCTAGCGTAAGTGCCTGAGAAACAAAAATATTGTTAAGTCGCTGATTACATCAATCACGTTTTTTCATTTATGTATCTTTTTGGTTTTATTTGTTTTTTTTTTTTTGATCAGGAGAGCGAGATTGACTGTAGCATTCTCACATGTACTTTTTAGGTCCACAGAGGCCAGTGGGAACAACGAGGATGTCACCACAACCAGCAACAATTCAACACAAACACCCAGCGATTTGAGCCCACCAGGACCCAATGAGGAGGTGTTGCCCCAGGCACATCATCAGAATCCTGGCCATTGCATTGCCTCCTTTGCGGCCATTAATCAGATGCGAACGAATGCACAGGTACGTACAAATACTTACATATGTATGTATGTATGTACATATTATGAAGAACTGCCACTCAACACTAGTCAATCAGTGGGTACATTATTAATTACCATTAGGCGCGAACATAACTTCTTTGTGGGGTCGTATCGCTATAAATAGTGTTATGTGTGTGTGTGATTCTTAATTAAAGCATAAGCATTTAAAATTGGTGTTCTATGGCTCGGGGCCTCATGGGTCAATGGCAATGGCAACTAACGCGCTTGCTTGCGTGCCTCGCGTGGCATAATTTTTTCAGCAAAAAACCAATTAATTGCCTACTCTAGTCGGCCCACAGCTTGATGAGCTAATAGGGAAAATTGCCGTTTAGTGATGCCTAGCATGCTGATAAAGGCTGACTGCCGCCTCCCACCATTCTCCGTGCCTCCATTCTCCCGCGTAGGTGAAGCCATTACGCGACAATTTTTTTTAGTAAAAGTAGGAAGACATTAAAAATTGCCTTTAATCGAGGGCACCGACTCGCAATGGATTCTGTTTGCAACTGTTTGCGGGATGGATGGGGTGTGGAGTTGGGGAATCTGTCAGTGTTATTCATTTAGAACGCATCAGACAGTGTCGGCGGCGTCTGCTGCTTCAGGCTACGAGCAGGAGTGAACGATTCATAAGGATTCGAGGGATGTATGAGCTGCTCGGTGAAATTGAGCACGTACTTTAGCGAGCGTTGGCTTTAATCGGATTTGTAAATCGACACTTTGTCGCATGGTTGATGAACCGGGGAAGGGCACTGTGCTTCTCATCCACTTCATGTGTCAATAACTCTGCATGCTTCCGTTTCGATATTACAGCTCTGTGATGTCCGCCTAGAAGTGGGCGTTGAGACAATCCATGCGCACAAGGTGGTTCTGGCCTCTGTGTCGCCGTATTTTTATGCCATGTTCAACGGTAAGTTGGGGGCCTGGGGGCTTAGACTCCCCAGACTCCGAGACATGTTCTGCTTCAATTAACTCGAAACTGTTATTCACCATTTAGATGACATGTTGGAACGCACACAGGGATTGGTGAGACTGCACGATGTGGATTACACTGCGCTTCGTCAGCTCATCGATTACACGTATACGGGCGAGATAACCATTACAGAACAGAATGTTCAGGTACTCCTGCCCGCGTCCGGACTGCTTCAAATGCACTCTGTTCGCGATGCGTGCTGCAAATTCCTGTTGCGGCAACTCCATCCCTCAAACTGTCTAGGCATACGCAGTTTTGCAGGTAAATCCTCAAAGTCAAAAGCGTTACTCTATAGATATTACAAGTAGAATCGTACGTAAATTCTACGAAACAATCATTTTTCGTTCATCAGCCTACTTTGCAAGTCCTTTTTCGCTGAACAAATTATATTCAAGAGCATTTCTTTAAGATGTTTATGCCATTTAAACATGTTTACTAATATTGCATATTTCCCAAATAGACGCGCACTCATGTAAGGAGCTGCACACGCGTTCCCACAAGTACGCGCTGCAAAATTTCCAACAGGTCGTCGGGACCGAGGAATTTCTGCTGTTGCCCTTTGATGAGGTCAAGGATTTGATATCTAATAGTCAGTTGAACATAAGCTCCGAGGAGAAGGTCTTTGTTGCGGTGCTGAATTGGGTAAAGCATAATCTGGCCACGCGCCAGATACATATTGCCGAGCTCATGTCGCACGTACGCCTTCCCCTTGTTAGCCGCGATTTTCTTATGACCTGTGTGGAGTCGGAGACGCTGATTCGTGAAGATTCAAGTGCAAGTATTAGCAGAGCATCCTTAAAGTTGGTAAATAATTTCAAATGTATCTACAGTGCAAGGAACTGCTACTGGAGGCCATGAAGTACCATCTACTGCCGGAGCAGCGCAGCTTGATGAGCAGCCAACGCACTCAGGAGCGTCGACCGGAGGGCATGAAGCCCTATATCTTTGCTGTCGGTGGTGGCAGCCTCTTTGCCATTCATAATGAGTGCGAGGTGTACAACCCCCGAACCAATGCCTGGACACCGGTGGCGCCAATGTTGTGGCGACGCTCACGGTCCGGCGTTACGGCACTGCACAAGCAGCTGTATGTGGTGGGTGGCTACGATGGCGTCAGCGATCTCTCCACCGCTGAATTCTATAACCCATTGACCAATAAGTGGACCAATATAACGCCCATGGGCACGAAACGTTCTTGCTTGGGCATTTGCTCATACGACGGCTTGATCTATGTATGCGGTGGCTACGATGGTGCCTCCTGCCTGAGCAGCATGGAGCGCTACGATCCCCTGACGGGCATCTGGAGCTCCTGCCCGGCCATGAGCACGCGTCGACGCTACTGCCGACTGGCCGTACTGGAGAATTGCATCTACTCCCTGGGTGGTTTCGACTCCACCAACTATCAGTCGAGTGTGGAGCGCTTCGATCCGCGTGTGGGCCGCTGGTGTCCCGTGCCCAGCATGACCGCACGTCGCAGCAGCTGTGGCGTAGCCTCAACCGATGGTCACCTCTACTGCATTGGCGGCAACGATGGCACTATGTGTATGTCCAGTGGCGAACGTTTCAGTCTGCGCAGGAACAGTTGGGAGCCCATCGCAGCAATGCACTCTCGCAGGTATTTTCACGGCTGTAGTTTGTCTTTCAAAGGATACATTGAAACCTTTTCCATATCTATTTTGCAGGTCCACGCATGAGGTTGTCGAAGTGGATGGCACGCTTTTCGCCTTGGGCGGCAACGATGGCTCGTCCTCGCTCAATTCTGTAGAGCGTTACGATACACGCCTGAATAAGTGGACCGTGGTCAATGCCATGGTTGCGCGCCGCAGTTCCGTCGGAGCTGCTGTACTCGAATGTTTTCATCTGGAGCGCGGATTGGTACAGACGACGAATTTATGACCTTTAGCTACCATCAGCGAATCCTTCGCCGCTGCTGCAGCGAACGACAGCCAAGCGGGGGCCAGCACTAATGGCGCCACCAGCACCCAGAACAGCAGCAGCAACAACAGCTTGGTGGTGCCTGGACGGGCTGAGGCAGCTGCTTTCACAGCCAACATAGCGCTGAGCTCATCGGCGCCTTCTGCCAGCTCCACATTGCGCCGCCATAGACGTGATTTGGCCGGACTTGCCGAGGGCCGACGCGCCAATAGCAATGCCAGCAGCGGAAGTGGTAGCGGTAGTGAGAGTAGCAGCGCTGGCGGAGGCGGAAGCAAACCACCGGCCACCGCCTGATCTCTATCGAGACATTTTTGAATTTAAAAACTAAGCTAATCCGCACCCCACGCCTATTCAAGGAATTGCATTAATTGTTTGTTCGTTCGATGGATAGTTACATACATACATATATGGAGAAAAATACATACATACAAGTATAAGCTATAGTTTATAGCTGCACCTTAACCGATAACAGGCGTTTTGCAGGCGCTCGTTTGCTCAAGAATTATAGAAATCAGACAAACACATTAACATTGCTGGACATTCTTTTAACCTCAACGAAGCCTCAAGTTTGTGAATTCGAATCAATTAAGAAGCCTATGAAGCCTTAAGGCTTCTAACTTTTTACCATAATTACGTTTGCACTACGCTCGAAATTCTTCGAGAAATGCATAAACTCACAGAGACATGTTTCTAGTCAAGACCTCATGAACTTCAATCATTCCAGAAGCGCAAGAGTGGCCCACTAAGCCTGCAAACAAGATAGCAACCTAATCTGCCTACAATTTACATACATATAAATATATATACAAATATACAATATACACTCTTATGTACTATTCTTATGTATTTTATACATACAATTATAATAAGTAAATGTTTCGTATTTGAAATAAGGCTTTCAACTATTTGTTTTACATGGTCAAAATCTGAATGAAGAACAAAGAAATCGAGGTCAGCTAGCTTATATATATACATAGATCCTGGTAATTTGTACTTTGTAGCTTGATTGATTCTTCTTCTCCTTAATGGTTCACTGCATTTTAGAGCATTCGATCCGCGGTGTTGCGTGCCACATTGCCAACATTATTTTCAGTCGCCACCTGCGCCGAGCCTAACTTGCGAGCATTGAACCAATTGGGCGGCAGACCCGTACCAACTGAAACGATGATGTGGAAGTTGTGGTTGAGATTACAGTATTTGTCATTATGATAGCCGTGCACGCAGATTTTTCACGAATCTCGGACCGTTGCGTGTGTCGTGATGTATGTAGAAATTGCTGCCTGTAACTTACAAGCTAAAAAGTAAACTACACGCAGTTTAGGAACAGACTGATGATATTTTGACAGTTTACATCACGCATTTATTATCAATTTATATTTGATGGGTATGATTGGATGTTAAATGCTGCGCCGCTTCTGCGTCGCTTCTCTCTTCACGTACTGTTAGCGCGACTCGCGTGCTGAGCGTTTGCAATTGAAAAGTAATGTGAGATGAAACTATTTTCAAATGGCAGAGCACATACACGGCACGAGACGGGCCACACAATTCGTGAAAAATGAAGACGCGCCGCTTAACTGTAGGATAAAACTAAACGGTTCTTAGGCACTAGCTTAAATGCAGAGCGTACATCATAATAGCATTTGAAAACAAATGACTGCTCATACAATTAAATAACAAGAAATAAATCTGTTTGACACGCGCCAAATTTTTAATCCAAATCGCCTGCAACTGCGTTACGCATGTAAAAGGGGAGAAGAACCGTTGAAGTTGAAGGCAAAAAGAGATTATGTAAATCGCGTTATCTGATCGTTATGGTGCTATGATTTTACATTTATATAAAAATAGGTCAATAGTTAAACCCAAAAACAACTTAAAATTTAACTGTTTTTTGTTAATCATATGATGCGTTTAACTTTATGAAACGATCTATTTACTTTTGTAAACTTTCTCAGTCATGTCATCGAAGCCAGAGTCCTGAATGTTTAGCATCAAGCTATCAGCCGACAGGTATACCTTGTTCTGGGAATTGGCAATCTAAACGAATCAAAAGAAACAGATTAGTTGGTGATCAATTCAAATATAAAATTTCAAGCTTACCGTCCGCGCAATGCTTTGGGCAGCACGCAGTTTACGAAGCTTCAAGTAAGCTGGATTCTGTTTGACGGCCAGACCTAAGTAAACATAACAGTTAAGGCAAAAACCAAATGCATTTCGAAATCAAAAAATGGAATGACTGTGAATATGTAAAAATTTTATATGAGAAAGTTTGTTTGCAAAGGATATCATTTTGGCTGCTTCGGCTTCACCCTCAGCCTGGACAATTTTTTGTTGTTTCTCCTGCTTTGCCCGCTCAACAAAGAAGACAGCACGTTGTGCCTCCTGCTGTGCAACCTGTTTTGCTTCAATGGCAGCGGTGTATTCCTTGCCAAAGCTCAGCTCAGTCAACGAAACGTCATCCAAGATAATGTTAAAGTCACGAGCCCGTTCCACCAGCTCCTTGCGTATCAGCAGCGAAACCTGCAATAACCAAAACAATCATGAAAAATCGATCTTCCAGCAATTGTAACTTAATATGCGCACCTGCTGGCGCTGTGTAATCAGCTGGGAAGCATTGAATTTCGCAATCACGCTCTTAAGCACCTCGTTGCAAATGGAGGGCAACACTTTTTCGTCGTAGTCGACACCTAATTGCTGATGCAGACCAGGCAGGCGTAGGGAGTCTGGACGCGAGAGCACACGCAGCGAAATGTTGATCATTTGCAAGTCCTTTGAACCAGTGGGGGACGAAATTTTGCGTGGGCGTGAGCGAATGTCATAGATTATGGGGTATTGGAACCACGGAATGCGAAAATGTAAGCCCTCGGTGTATATATCATTCTGAATGCCGCCAATGCGGTTGAAGATAATTGCGCGGTGGCCACCGTCGACTAAAAAGAGAAAAGCAGGGCATAGTAGTTATGTAATTACTAAAGAATCACCTTTTGGAGCTAGGTTTGAGTGCATCCCTAGTTCAAACATTATTCACACAGTTCACGCATACACGATTAACAACACATATCACAGCATTGTGCAAGAATCTGAACAAGTTATGAAACCCATAGTTGCATGCCGCACTCAAATACACAGACACAGTTTGAGGTTAAGTGCACATGCCGCTACGGGCGACTTGTTTTTGCAATTTTCTTTAAATTTTCAACAATGTGAACAAATTGATCATTTCTTACCGGTGTACAAGGATTGGCTGACACCATATGCGGCTGCTCCGACTGCTGCCAGTAGTTTTAGTCCAATGGTCAATCCAGGTGGGCCACCTTTACCTAGCTTACCAGCAAGATCGTTCAGTTTGCTTTGCGCCATATTGTCTGCGTTGTTAAGAGGTAGGATAAATAAAAGTTACTGAAAATCTAAAATTTAGCAGGTTCTCTTTTGGAACTCTATATCTGTTAATAAATGAAATAAGAAAAAAAGCACGCACGTTATTTACTTCTGCCAGCAAATGAGTAGCTCTGCACCAGGGTATCGGTTACTTCCAGCCCATCGATGTTATCGATGTCATTGCGTTATCGTCATGTAAACGGCAGTAGTGAATGACAATTTTTAGATTTCGAGTAACTTTTAAATTTATTTTTGAATTATGTGTAATATCATATGAATAACAAATTGCAGTGGTACAGCAAAAACTGTGGTAAATTAAAGCATTTGAACTAATAATCGTTTGTCACATATCCGCAACGTTGTGGCTTTCATGCCTCCCAAAATTCGTGTCTCGTAAATAGTGGACTACCGAGCTGTTAATCAAGGACAGCACAATAGACTTTAGGTCCAAAATGGAAGCAAGTCTGTATTTCAGTGTAACTGATTGTATAAGTTCCACCAGCTGGGAGAGAGATTCTTGATGTTTTGCATTTGAGACATTGTTTTGGGTGTACAACACATAACTGAAATAAAAGATGGACTTAAAAAACTCAAACTCTGGAATCGTTAAAGATGTTGGTAAGTACCCTTTGACAACTTGTTCAATAACATCATCATTTATGCGCTGATGGTACTGGTAGTCGTTCAAGAAATTTTGCTTTTGAAGCAAGACAAACTGCGAAAGCAGGGCCTCGCTCCAATTAATATCGTAACTATAGGCGCGACTCAGTATCAACGTTTGCGCCACACTATAAATCAAGTACAAAATTAGCCCAGAAGTATTAAATGATAGTTAACTCTCACCTTAACTCCGAGTTGGCCAACTCGCGGAATTCATCGCGCGTTTTCACACTTATGACGCTCACACAAAGCTGGGCAACATTGTGTGAACGTTTCTCCAGTGCTTTGTTGCAAAGATCTATTTGCATTGCCACCAATTCAGCCTTCGCCACACTCTGCTGTGCCTGCATTAGTTTATTGTCCAGCAAATAGTTTTCAGTAGCGTGGGTGTAGTTCTCCAATGCCTGCTGCAACAGTGCCTGAACTTCTGTCGAACACTTCAACTTGATCAGCTGAGCTTTGCTCGATTCCAGTGGTGGACCCGCCGCTAACTCTGATAGGGATCGCACTTTGTTCAGCACATCTCGTGCCTCCTGCTCCCACATCTCAGCGAGCTCCTTGTACATCAAAAAATGCAATGCAGCTAGTCGCAGGAGCTCTTTGCTGTTCTTTGGATTATATTCACGCAAATAGGAGATTATCGCTTGGCGCAAACCACATTTCTGGCCCTCATCGAATTGGCCAAGCAGGCATTCGAATTCCTCATTCTCTATCAACGCATCGAAACAGTAAAACATCTCGCGATAGCGTGCTATGCCAATCAGCATGCGCACAATCAATGACCAGGATTTTGCCTTTTTAAGCAGCGTGTTTAGAGCCTTGGCTCGGTGCAACACGTTCGCAATGCCCTCCATTGAGCACTCATGCACAAAACAATGGTGGGCCTTGATGAGCAGTTCAACGTAGATTTGATTGTGCTTCTTATTGGATAAGACCTGCGGCAACAGAGAGCTACCAGCACCAGCAGTGGTGGACGTATTAGAAGCCACAGAGGCAGGTAAACCGTACCGTGTAATAATTTCCGATAGATGCTGAAATGCTTCACTCTCCTCGTAGGGTTTGTTGTCCTGATAGCGACGATACGCCTTGAGTGCGTCACAATAGTCGAGCAATTGTTGACCTAAGATTGTAGTGTTGGGCGTCAATTCTAGAAATAGGTGAAAGTCACGATCGATGTTGTAGCCCCATAGGTCGGCGTTTCTGGGTGCGTTCCGTGGTTGTTGATTGGCATGGAAGATGTAGAAACGTGGTCGCACTATGCAGGTCGTCAGCTCCAAGGCAATTGCTTCGGCAATCTGTAGAAGAAATATGTTAACTCCTTTCAGTTTAATGGCAATTGAATGGCTTACCTCTTTTTCAGTCAGGCGCGTTGATATATGTATGTCGCTGACTACCATCAGCCGCTGAAGACAATCCTCCTCGGCTGCACTTTTCAAAAGCACGCTCACATCCTTGGTTCGCAAGACATCCAAGTACTCCTTGTCCAGATACATGGCTGCCCTGTATGCTAAGACGATGCGTTTACCTAACTCCACTCCATGCTTTAGTTTTGAACCAATGCCTAGTAGTGTATCTAAGGTTTGTTGCTTCTCCTTGGGCGGTATCTCCTCGAATTCAAGTGTAGAGCAGCTGTCTGAGAGATCGCTACTACATCGGGCAAGCAGGCTTTGATTCAACGTCAGCCTGTTAAACTTGGAATAGGCGCCCTTTTCAATTTCTGCAAGTAGTTGGCGCTCCTTGGTGGACAGATTAAAGATCGATGTGACACCTTCAGCGAGGGCCATGGAGAAAACAATAAAACGTAGATCGTTCGGTCGAAACTCAAACAATTCCTGCAATCGCAATGCTTCCACTATATCGCCCTTGTCCAGCAGCATGTTCAGCAACATTTCCAGACGCTGTTCCATTGACGGTGTCAGTGTGGCTTTGGACGCGACACTTATGCTGAGATCATCTATGCCCGCCAGCTCCTTAAGCTCCACAAATGACTTGTAAAGCACACAACGCTCCTGCATCATAATTTGCTCGAAGTATTCCGAGTGGTAAATGCTTGCTAATTGTGCCATATCGTCGGGCAAATTCAGATAGCATAGCACCATGTCATATTCGATCTGATCGCGATCAAAGGACTCGTTGGGAAACAAATGATGCTGTTTTATGACATTCAGCGCGCTCTGAAGTAACTCGTACTTCCGTAGACAGGCCGCGTTCTCCTGTCCGGCTGCGTGTAGGAAGAAATTTACGAGGATGGCCGGTGGCAGTGCATAGTCTTCAATTTCCTTCTCATAGATGGCATAAGGATGCAGTACACCTGCATCATATTCCGTCACCCATTTCAAAGATATAATATCACAGACAGGCAATTGCAGCATCGTGACCAACTGAACTGCCTCACTATAGGCCTTTGCCTCAGTTAGTGCGTCAACCAATCGCATGTATTCGGGGCTATCGTGGCGCACGAGAAGTTCGAAGTTAATAGAGAGTTTATCCATCCAGCTGGCGGATACGCCAAAGGCTTTATGCAACAGACAAAAGTCAAGCAGATCGCAGATGTCACCCACATCGGAGCGACAGATGCATTCGAGAAATTTTTGCTGCTGAAGTATGCAGTCAAAGTTCAATTGTAATTGCATGAGTAATAGACCGATGCAGCGTTGCATCAACTGTTTTCGTGGTAGAAGCGGACAAAGAGGTAACGTTACAGCATCCATGCTCCAGCAGAAGAAAAAGAGGCGTAGCTCAGCAATGGCGGTATCGCTAAAGTCCTGCTGATGAGCCGTCAGTTGAAGAAATCGGCAAAGGGGAACGAAATTGCAATTCTAAAAGGGCGAGTTATAGATAATAAGAGAGAGAGAGAGAGAGAGGGGCGGGTGCAGGGTATACTATTTACTCGTAAATATAATAAAAGGACTCACCTGTTGAAAAATGTTGAAACTATGCAGCAATGCATTCACATGTCCACCGCTAACAGCTCCACGGATGACGGACCAAACAAATTCCAGCTCTGAATTCAATTTAGATGACTCGCGCAGTAAGTTCGACCACTTACCCGTGCTGACAGAGAGCCACACTAGCCAGCACCAGTCCACATTTTGACTACTGACCGTTGCAGCGAGCACAGCCAGAATCGGCAGCTGCTGCTTGACGCATTGCTTTAGAAGATTCAAACAGGTGCTTTGGGGTCCAGTGCCTTGCATGAGCTCGAGGAATCGCCCTATTTCGGTTATACGTTCATCCGGCAAGTTGTTGCTGCTACACAAAATTATAGCAAAGAGATCTTGTTGTGCAGCTTGGGTGAGCAAACAGCAGGTGGAATGGCTAGCGCTGCTCTGCAGCAGCTGAAAATTTGCATCTTGACTCGAACTTTGCGACGTGTTGGTTATGGTTTCTTGAGACGAGTTTGTCTGGCCATCGGAGCGACGTGCGCGTCTGTGTTGGCGCTCGCTGCCGAAATCGTAGCTGAGGGCACGCAACAAATGAACGCCCATTGTGCTGTATTTAAAATGATCCAAGTGTCTTTTAAGCTCAGCGAGCGGCAGATCAAAGTATTGAAGGAGCACCAACAGATGCCACCAATCGTTCTCAGCAGCGTAATGTTGCAGTAAAGCAGCAGGCCAGCAGCCCTGAGTATTGCGTGCGGCTAGGCCCATTAGCGCTTGGTAGCCTTCCAGCGGGAATTGCATGGGCTTGGCCTTCAATTGCTCGAGAAGTGCATTATCCCAACGGCTGAAGGATTCGGCATAGCTGGAATGCTCCGTGGACGAGGAAAGCAATTTCTGCAGCAGCAGCAAGCGGCGCAGATGCTGCGTATCGAATCCCAGCATTTCACAGCAAGCCACACAATGTGCGACAAGATCCTTGTCGCCGGCATGTTGCAGAGCCAGTTCGGTGACCGTTTCGCAAACGTGAAAGAGTTGTGTTCGTGTTATTTGGCCATAAAGCTGGAGCTGCTCAATCAAAAAGTAGTAGACAGCATAGGCACTACGATGTTGCTTCAGATAGTGTGTGTAGTTCAGCTGCGTCTTACGGGCATAGCGTTGGCAGAGTCGCGTATTCGAGAAACTGGCAATTTCACCAACACCGGCTGCAGAGGCCAAGCTTGCAAAATTGATGTTTTTAAATTTGAAAAACAGTTCATGAGGTGTGGGCAGTGACGGCATCTGACTGGGACCGTGATCAAAGCGTAACATCAGTGATTTTAGATAGGGTACGCGACTCAAATTACTAGAAGAGAGAAAACTCTCGAGTGCGGCGATGCTGGGCTCATGGCAAAGGAAGTCGTAGAAAATCAGCAATGGATGCTCTTCGATCGACTCGACGGCATTATGTGTCTGTTCCAGATAAGTCTGAACGCTCTTAGATAGCTGCAAAGAAAAATAAATTACCTCAAGAGGGCACTACTAATTACTGTTATGCTTACGGTCTCGAAGCCTGTTCGCTCCGTCAGCGAATGTGACTTCAAATCAATAATGAGCTCGAGCAGTGGATCATTTTCGCCCACTAGCTGCTCCAACGCTTCAACGGGCACACAATGTAGCAGCAATAGTGTGTAGTGACCCCGCTCGATAATGTGTCGGGTCAGTGGCTGCTTGCTGAGCATATCCTGGTTCTCTGAAAGACAGCACATCGTGCAGAGTCGACGCAATAATGTTGTCATATCTCCAGAGTCGTTGGCAAAGATAAAGCCAGCCCGGGCAAAGTAGTTGCGTATTGGCTCACATGGATCCTTTAGATTGTCCAGTGCATACTCGTACATGGTGGGTTCGATCTTCCATGTGGCATATGCCTGCTCCAGGGGTGTAGTCCCCACCTGCTTTTTTGAAGTATCATTGAAGAGGAACCAGCACCGTAATTTATCATTGTCCTGAGTATTCACCAAATGCTGCCAGACAATATCCTTGTTTAACTCGGTTAGTAGCTGATCATTTTCATTAAGAAAGTAGAGTTCGACTAGCAGACGTTGCATTGTCGTTTCCGGCAGTGTCATCAGCGCTTCAATGTGCACCCGCGGTAATTGAGCTTTGTATTTGTCTAGCAAGGAGCTACATTCGCGTAACTGTTGGACCAGCGTCCAGTAATACTGCAGGATTGGTTCCTCCTCAGCATAGAGCTGCGAATATCTGCAGCGTAAATGATCAAGCACAAAGTCGCTGAGATCTGCATTCTGGCACTCGCAAGCGTACTGATAGAAGAAGCACTTCACATCCCTGTCCACATTGCGGATCACATTTTCCGCCTTCAAAACGAGACGTTCAGAGAGCAGACGCTGGACATAGGCCTGGACGACATCGTAGAAGTAGTGGCGATATTCTGCTGGGGTTAGGTTGCGTTTACGCGCCCAGTATTCGATGCAATACTCTATGTGCTCGCCTTTGGTGGCGACCTCCTTAATAATCGTTATCTCACTGATACCTGACCAGGATTTAAAGATTTTATCGCGTGCCTGAGCGGAATGCATCTTGAACACGTGTGGAATGATGAATCACTTGTTTTTTTTTACGATAATGAATGCGTTTTTACATCTTTGGAAAAGGTGCGGGCGTTCCTTTGTTTGGGACCCATAGACAACAATAATAATAAGCAACAGCTAAACAGCTGCGATTGGTCTGTTTTGATAAAAGCAACTCATAAATATCAGCTGGCAATGCTCTCGGCACCGTGATAAGAGAATTGCAGTGTTGCCAGACAGCATTCGAGTACACTGTCCAATGAAGTACCGAGTAGTTTTTTAAACCTTTACGCGCGCGTATTTCGAAAGTTCAATGCTTGAAGTGTGGCGACATATGGACTGCGGTCCTTGTTGGCAGTATCAACTTTCCTGTTTTGTCCCTGGAAACCCAACACCTTAAGCGCCACACACAGACATCAGGCACATCAGCAACCTCAAGCAAACTTTAATAATTGCAGGAAGCGATGGGCCCAAGTTCAGCAACATGTAAGGCTTGAGAAGTTAAAATAATTGTGTTTAGCGAGAATTTTGTTCAGTTGCTGACGCTTATAAAATATTAAGGTTTGCAATTGTTTGAGTTACGCGCGGGCTTACAACATCCGTTTACAAACTTCAAGGTGGTTAAGATCTCAAAAAGCTACTAAATAACTCAAGTACAGGGCAAAAAGTTACAACATTCATGTGTGACCATTTAAATATGTTTTTCTAAGAATTGGTTAGCTTACAAGACCACCACCAAACACTTTCTTTGGCTTAGAAACCTGTACAAACCTATGAACCTGATGTTGGGCCTATTAATAATTTTCACACGCGTATCTTTGCCAGCACATTCTACCTACTTAGTATATAAAAAGCATTTACACATTTATATATTTTATGTACATAAATATATGAGAGTTGCCCAAAAGAGACGTACAACTATGTACACCTTAACGCTTGCGGCTTGCGTAAGTTGATATTTAAAGTTTTTATTTTTTTAATATGCAGCGGCATAATTATTCTTTATCGTTTATGAGGAAAGAAGCCGCCAAACGAACACATACATACACAAAACAAGCCGAAATTGTGGCTCTTTTTGTTGTTTCTGTGGTTTGAGCTGATGTTGCTGCCGTTTTTGTTACCGTTTTGGCCACTTTACAAATAGTCGAAAAGCTTTATGGAGCGTAGAGCTCTGTTGTGTGCAGTTTGTGCTATAAGCGGGTGAGTTGCCAGTGGCCAATAAAACCGGTTGTCCCTGCAGCTTGTACAGAACACGTACACATGCCTTTAATATTAAGTTACGCACAAATCAAATTCGATTAAAATTGCCTGCACTGTCCAAAGGATGGTCCGGTCCTGCTCCCTAGTCTCACATGGTGAGCCTCACCCGCTGTCCATGTGCATCGCGACTTTCATGGCTTACATCATCGCGAAACGGTCGAAAATGTCGCCTTTTATCTATTGGAATGCACACAATATATACAAATATATTGTAAGATGTCCGGGTGTGGGGGTCCAACTGCGTGCCGGGAGTCTCGTTTGTTGTATTTTAAAAATACACATATCAAAGCTGAGTATCTCTGTGTGTGTGTGTGCATCTTTATCTAAAAATGAAATGTATGTCATAATACCTTTGGCATGCAGCGAGTCCAATAGTGTGGGCTTGCGAGGTCTGTGGCGGCAGGGGATAGCTTCGTGCTTGACATTAAAATCACACATGTTGCATGCAAATTTTATTTGTAGGTCTTTAGGCATATGCTGCCTTCCATTTGGAGCATTACCAGCTATGACGTCGCTCTTGAATTCGTTGTATTCATCGTAATCAAATAACAGTTTTTTTATGCACTTACCATATGCATGTAAAATTTAAAAAAAATGAGAGCAGTATAAGTGACTCATTAAAAATGGATTTTGTGACAATTTGTATTAAAAAGTTCAATAATACAGTTAAGGCAACAAATTAATTGCCTATATACCCTAAGCATCCATTACATCTGAGTGTTGTAGTTTATTTATATGTACAAAGTTATTTTCAAAAAGGAAAATCATATGATACCATTACTCTGTAAAAACTGGCTTAAAATTTATTCATAGCTGATCAAAATTACGATTTTAAGATATTTTCTTGATATTCTTTTTATTATTTTATTAATTGCAATTGGTGGCCCATTGCCACCACCTTCCCCCCAAATCGGTAGAAACAATTTTTTGCTCTCTGAGGTCGACCCTACATTCATTATTATGGCGCACTATTTCGATCATTTTGATCATATGCATAAATTATTATTTTGACGCATTGTGCATATTTATTGTTTAGTGAAAATTTTAATTATTTGGATATCCTACCCTTTAAAAAAAGCTCCGTACAAGCTTGCACATTATATATTTATACAAAGACCGATCGATTTTAAAATACCCATCTCCTGTCGGGTTAAGGGGACGATAATAGATAAAGGTACCCTTATTTTCTCCTGCAACTTAATATTACACATTCTCAATTATGAAATAATAATAAACAAAAAATTGTCCTTCATGGCTTATTATAGTTTTTTTGTTGAAATTTAAAAAAATTAATCCACATTAAAGTGCATCATTCATTTTAACGAGTGTTAATATTTTGAAGAATGCGCTTTTAATAAATACATGTGTATGGAAAGCACTGAAGAGCTCGTCATTTATAGCCTCATTTAAATGCAAGTCACATGCAGCGCCCACTCCTAGTGCAGCACTGAGAAGCAAAAGCTCAGATGTTTGCCTGGAAATGATTTCGCAAATAAGTATGAGTCAAAAATTGTTGCAAAAAGGGCCATCCAGTGTGTAGAGGTACGCACTCGTTTTTGTTTCCCACGTTAAATGGGCCTCTGATTGCCAATCAGTGTGCGTTTGTGGGGGGCTGGGTGTGTTCAGAGCCCAATTGAATGCGTAAGCGACGAGCGGCTCTAACCTTGCTGAGGCCAATGGATCGGATCAAGGCAGTGCGCCGTCGGTTGCACTCAAAGCGCAGCAGTTGCCCATCAATGGTTGGGGATTTTCCTATTGGAAAGTCGGGCAAATTGATGGAAGCAATAATAACAATAACAACACTACCACCACCACCGACAGCAATGGCTACATATTTGGTAAGAGCAGCGAACCACAATGGCAGACAATAGACTGAAAGTCGCGCAAACCCTAAATTGATTGATAGTCGTGGCACATTCCATGCTTCCTCTTCTTCTATACCGTCTCCAGGTTTGCCGAGCTAAGCATAAACTTGTTTTCTTCGCTTTGCGCAAAATCCCCAACAAATGCGATCCAATGAGCCCCCACAACCAAAAACACAAAAAACCGAAAAAAGTGATGATTAATTAGAGAAGACTTGTTTGAGGCGCGAACGCGTGGATCGGCGGCCAATGTGGTGGACTCGTATTACCATTTAACCGCAACTTGGGGGCAGCAGCAGTCACAGCGCTGATGTCAGCCCCCAAATGCGTAGATCTAGGTATGCCCGTAGGCTTAAAACGCAACAACGATGCCTTTGGGCGCGCTGACTTCTGAACTTTACGCTGCATAGGTTGTGGAAAAACTATTCGATATTGCCAGGAAAGATCATTCAAAATCGGTTAACGAACTGTACGCCTAATGATGAGTAGTTACGAGTATAAGTCACACATAGGCCCAAACCACAAGTCGTTGCAAAGTAAACAGAAAGCTGCGCAGAGCCATTAGTTTATGAATGAATTAGAGCGTCTTGTCGCAGCCCAAAAATATATACTAACGATGTGTTCCAGTCAACGATTTGACTTTTTAAAGATAGGCATAATGTGGCGAGTAAACGAGAGAGAGAGAGACATTCTTTAGAAATAGAAGTACTTAAGTTAATAATATATTTACATAAAACAAACTACGTCATTAAACGCACTAAATATTTTATAGTCAGTTCAATTCAATCTAATCAAATTGTATTGTACCAGAAATAGGGTAATAATAAAATAAGATAAATATACATATATGTAGAACCATTCTTCAAAGTGGTTGTTGCAGTTAACGGTGTCAAAAAAAAAAAAAGATCACATGTCAAAAAGGCGTCGAAATATTGGCAAAATCAAGTAAATCTTAGCCAAATTGATTCAATAAACTCAGCTATTACAGCTAAAAACTAAAATTTTGGGTATGATGAGAAAAACATCAATCCGAATCGGAACTATTTGGGGGTCCAGCAAGATATGCCGCTATTGCTAATGTTTCCTTATGCTTATAAGTAGTTGGTAAAGAAAAGCGAGTTGCTTCTAATAGCCAACACCATCGGTATACAGTTTGGAAATTTGAAGGAGGATCGGAATTTTTGTTGAGGCGTTCCCAAACTACAAATGTTGTCAATTGTCTGACCTTTTTGTGACCTGCTTAGAAATGCTGTGGCATGCCCATCTGTGAAACCTACCTACCTAACAATAAATAAATTTATTCCAATGTCAATATTTTATTGTGGAAATTTGCATGTGAACAATGTCTTAGCAGTCGGTTGGTAGTAGCGGTGAATATTTTGCGAGACCGTTAAGCTGTGAACAGGCAATGGAGTCGCGTGTATTAAATTGGCTTATTGGCCGGTCATGCAGCAGACGGTTACCAATTTTTTTCGGCTTGGCTGTCCCCTCATATTTTTGGCTACATAAATTAGCAAAACAAAATGGCTCATTAGCACATTGTCGTGTGAACGGACGGTATGGTGACAACGAGAACGACAGCAACCGAACAACAACATCAACAACAAGCAGGAGAAGGTTTCAATTTGCATGTGTAACGGTATTAGCGCATACACAAATATGTGGCTTATTAATTTTCACCACATTGACAGGGTCAAGTTCGGCAGCAGCTGTTCCAGCTAAGCTGTTGCTGCTTCCACTTTGATTCTTCAACGTTGGTGGTCGCATGGTGGTTGCATGCACACACACACACACACATGCACGCGACCAGTAATTAAAAGCATTTTGTGCTTAAAATCAAAAGTGCTCACAAAAACACCCGAAGCACATAAATCAAATGCAACTTGCAGTTTTCAGTCACATTCTCAGACTCACAAAAAACGGAAAACGAACGAGTAGAACGTTAAAGTTGCGTCAGCCCGACTTCTGTATTCGCTGTACCCTTCCTTTTCTCCTTCACACTCCTTCAACTAAAATGTTGATGTACGAATCGTTTTAATGGCCGCTTATATAGTACGTCGATTTGGTTGAAATTTCAGAACATCATGATGAACTAGCATAGCATACTAAAATTGTTTAAAATCAGAAAGATAGATACGGGTTGTAACTAGATTGATCTGCGTATAAAAAAGTCTACATACAAAGTTTGTTAGTTCTGGCTGTTATGGTTCAAAAGCTCTTGGTTTCATATGTACGGATACTCGGATCTGACTATATCGACACAGCTTTTCAACTAATCTCAAACCTCCTGCCTTTTAATTTGAAGCAAACTGAAGCAGGCTTTCTCTATCTGATTTCTGACTCAATTTTATTTTGGTGCTTAACCTTCCGATTGAAATTGCAATCGTAGGTAAGATCTGTATATACATTCATAAAATAATGCTTATTTCAAATAATGAAATTGAAATGGGAAACAGGCATAGCTAGTTATTTTTCGGTCTCAGGAGGAACTGTAACATTTTTATGAATTAAGCTCTTATCCTATCGATGATCCTTACGTTTATATAAACAGATAAATTTATCTTGTCATGGTCTTCAAGAGCAGACCTATCTTGGGTCTTACCTCCTTTTTGTTGTTACAAAAACGAAACAATTTCATAATACTCTTTAACCCATCGGGTAAAGGGTATGAAAAAACGGTTGAAGCTACTGCTTGCTGCATGAATCAGTCGTAGTTGTTGTTGTCAGTATCGTCTCGGATGTGTGGACGGCCTTGCTTATCAAAACAACAGAGACGATGCGCGTAAAGATGCACTGCTCTCTGCCTTTTTCTGGCTGCTTTGCTTTCTTTGTTTGTTTGCCGCACGAATTTTGGCTAAGTGCAGCGATGAAGTTGCCGCAACAGGTTCTCGGCTATGTGCAAGAACTGGGAACTGGACACATACAAAGCACGCGTAACAGGTTCTTACCTTTTTGCCTGCTGATTAATAGGTGTGCGTGCGTGTGCTTTACTCGTGTGTGTGAATCTCTCTCACGCTCTCCCTCTCTCTCTCTCTCTCGTTGTGAGTTCGCTCATTAACAAACAAACTCACACAAGCAGACAGCTGAGATAAACCGACTTGCTGCAACAAGAACAAAATAAAATACCTGCTTATATGACTTTTTCTATTGCTCAAACAGCGTCTTTGTGTGTGTGTGATAAGGCCACAAAATTCTGGGGTGCCGACCATTACCAGCCGCCACGTAGGTAAGGCCCAAGTTAGCAAACATATTGGTGCCAGCCAATTTCCTAGCGGGGTTTTTACCACAGGTAACTCAAGACTTAAGCGAGTCTATGTCTGCATACACGTATGTACATATGTAAGCATGTGTGCGTCTCAAAGACATGCGGCGGGTCAGCAGCAGACGTTGGCAATGCTCTCGTGTTCATTTCAGTTCAGTTGCTGTTAACGTGGCTCTGTGGGTGCCAACCGAAATGCGAAGAAAACAACAACAAAACATTTTCGCAATCGTTCATAGCATACTTGGAGCGGCAGGATTGTCATGGTATGGGTGAGTCGCGCCGAATGAGTGAGTATGTGGCCAGCGAGCGAGTGAGTAAGTGATGGTGTCGCTCTAATTATAAGTGCTACCAATTTAGCTATTTTCCCGCCAGCTCTAAAACTGTTAAAATACCGATTGTGGGAAGAATTGTAATATTTTAAAAGGGATTTGAAATGACAATTGCAAAACAATTGTTATATAAAAATAAAAAATATAAAATTGTATAATTTATATTATACTTATAATACCTGAAACTTATTGGAATGGATTTTCCTTATAACCATAACACAAGTGAATGAATGAATATAATAAAATATATTATGTACTTCTTATATTTTTCAATTTGAGAGTTCAGTTTCTTTATGAGAACGAAAACAATGAAATATTCAGCGTTATAATCTGCTTAGCTCTTTCAGAGCTTAGAATTAGAAAACAATTAAAGTTTTAATTTGCACTAGCATTATAATGAACAAGTAAAAAAGCTAAAGTCGGGTGTCCCGACTTTGAAATACTCTGTACATATGCGTACAATAATTATAGAAAATTAAAAAAAAAAAAAAGAAATTAATAAAAAAAAATTTTGATCGATTTTACCTCTCTCGGTATTCGAACTCAAGTAAAGGGTGTATAATTGCACATATACAAAGCAATTGCGTCCATGTGAATGTATGAATGCCTATGCGCATCTATTCGTGCCTGGGCATCTTTGTGCAAAATTTGGTGTCTCTATCTCTTATAGTCTCTGAGATACAGGTGTTCTTCTGCCTGTCACATTTTTCAGCTCCCGCAAACCTAATATACTCTTGTACATTTCATGTACAGAGTATAAAAATCAAATGTTTACCGGCGTGGAAATAATCGTGTTTAGCTGTTTCTAGCTTTTTTTTAACTGCTAGTACTCAAGAATTGACAACGCTGGTCGGTATCGGTGTCTCTGCCCGGGGTGTGCATGTGTCTTGGTTTCGGTCTCGAAGTGAGCTTTGGCTGCGGCTGATCGCGCTGTAGTCTCAGTCTCAGTCTACTTTTGGCTCTCGTCTCGTGCAGTTTGTAAGAGAACTTGACGCGCATCGTCAGCCGTGTTTTGTTAGCCGTGCGCGCCCAGAGTGTGCGCTACACTTGTGTGTATCCGCGTGCGTACATGTGTGTGTGTGACTAATTAAAATAATAATTTACAAAATTAATTTAAAATTTTTTGCGTACACTTATCAAATGCAGTCGTCGCCGCTGCCAGTGTGTGTGTTTATCTTTGCACTTAACGTTGTTGCAATTGTTGTTGTTGTGTTTCTTCTGCTTCTTGCTGTTGTTGTCTGACTTTGCCACTTTGTTTAATGGAAAATTAAATAATTGAAGGCACTGGGGCCTTAGCTGCTTCTCTGTTGTGTTTGCTTCTGGCTCACAAGCACATGTGTACATCGAAAACGTCAAAACGTAAAGTCAAAAGATTACATGAGTGACTGAGTGAGTGTGTTTGTGTGGCTGTGTGTGTGCCATGATTGTGTGTATCTGTGAGTGTAAAATGTAATGAACCCAACATCACGCGTCGTGCTAACAAACAAAAGTGTTAAGAAAACAATAACAACGAAAAGCAACGACTTGAAACGGCATATTAAGCATAACACGACCGTTTAAAATGTGCTTTAAAAATTACAAAATTCTGCAAATATAAACAGAAGAAAAAAATCAAAAAAGAAAAAAAAAAACCAAATACGATAAAAAGCAACGTGAAAATCCCCTAAAGCGCTCAAGAAAAAATCTCAGGCAGCCTTCAACGCAATTTCTTTCGCTGACAAAGTCGCTGCTGTCGTTGTTGTGCTCATCGCTAGCGGGTGGCAAGAAGCTTCTTTGACTTCTGCAGCAAACTTGGCCAACAAGTTTTACCTTTTTCCGCCTCACATTTTCCTTTAACCGTTCGCGTGTTGCTCTGCGCTCTGCGCGTTGCACGCTCACAGACCTGTTTTCGGCGTTCGCTGCATTTTGCCATTTTCCGCGCTTGAAAAGCTACGAGTACGACGAGCTGAAGAGGCGGCCCCGGCCGTGGAGTCGCAGCCGCATTGGCAGTTTGGAAAATTTTCCTATCCATTTGCCAGCTTATGTGCACCGAAGAGCCCCCCCTATTAAGCATATAAGCACATCTACATATCTGCATACAACAAAGGCGCACATACATACATATGTATGTACATATGAATATACAGACCAACCAGTACGTGTTTTGGATTATTTTAATTGGCACCAGACATTTGTGGTGAGTTTTATGTGAAAACGAGCATTAAAAACATCAGCTTTGATGTAGAACTACAAGAAGTATTCATAAACTACTAAAAAACTTACAAACGGCAATTTCGTTCAGTATTTCTTTCAAAAATATATTAAGAAATGCGAATATGTCTTAAAAATTATTTTATGGGGGTACTGGGCATGTGAGTATTCTGTTACAAGTCTGTTTTGTTGCATTTCAAAGATTCCACCAAGAAGGTGTTTTAGTTTCTTTATTTTTGACGGATTAATATGTTTACAGAAATGATTAAATTAAATTTTGCATACTTTGAATTTCCGCATTTTGCAGAGTTTCCTCATTTCCATATTATTGCATTATATTTTAGGTAACTCAATACGTATTTAATTACATAAGGTTTGGCAGCTTAGTTCGAGAGGGAAATAAAATTTAAATGACAGCTCAATTTGTAATCAGATTTGGTATAATCCAATAAATTTTGCAAAGCTTGTAAGTTAGAGTTATGTTTTTAACTTGGCACGAAGCGTTTAATAAATACATGTTGTACATATGTATTTAATATTCGTCTGAATGTCCGGCCATTAAGAATTCATAGAGCTGGGACAGTTCAAATGGTAGACTCATATATACTTTTCTTATTCACTATCCTTCGACCGAGCCACAACTTAATCACAACTAAGTGGTCATCTTCAAACTTGTTGGTGAAAAAATGTAAAAAGTTGTGACCTGCCCTGATTTCCAAACCCAAATGACACTCAAAAAACCTAACTGACGCATTCATCGAAGATAATCATGCGTTGACTATTACAAAAGCCAAACGTTATTGGACAACTGAGGTAATAATCATGCAAGTCATTTGAATCCGAGTCATGAAGTGGACACTAAAAGCTTTTAGCAGACCTTACCCACAGTCCTTGGGGCTGATTATTAGCAATTGATGTTGGACTACTATTTTTGAAACCCGCAAATATATATTTATTGGGCAGCCAGCCAACCCCACTGCCTTAAGATTAAAATTTATAAAAAATTCTTTCTTAATCTTAATAATACTCACATCAATTAGACTCCCAGTATTCAAGCGGAAAAGAAATATTGTTAGATATTTCAATATTTATTTGTATATATTTAACAAATTCTTATTTTTATGATGAAGCTAGGCTTATAAAGAGACTAAATTTGTGTTGGCTACATGAATTAAAACTGTACTGTCAAATTGAAATAATAAATAAATAAATAAAGAGGTTTCAAATAAAATGAAAATTAGATTTAAAACCTAACAAGGTGATTGAATAAAATGTCTCCGTTTCTATGGCTTTTTATGTTTTATTAATGAAGTTATTCGTGTTTAGTAAAATATTGTAAATGAAAGTCAATCAAGTACATTTTTAGTAATATTAGTAGCTCAAGTCAGGCATGTAGGGATGTTGACCAATTAATTCGATGCTCCAATCGTCGGAGCGACCCATCGCATTATCTTGGTGGAAAATTACCCGTTTTTATCGGTTGGCTTACCTCAATTCTCTAGAAACTTCTGAAAAAAAATCCTTGTGTACCATACATAATTGACCAAGATAGGGTTTTCCAATGGTATATTTACTAAAGTTGAATTAGTTTAGGGCCATCCGCTTTGGAATTTTGACTTGAAAGAGTTCAAAGAGAACAAAATTCCTTCTTTAACTTAAAAAGTGAGTTCTTCAAAAATGCAGAATTAGAACGAGAGGTGGAGAATGTAAACAAATACTATATATATGACTTGTATGACCACTATTCTCTTCGAAAAGCCTGTAAACCTTATTGAATTCTTGTTGGGTAGACCTGGACCTAGACTTTATAATGTTCCCAGCGCCTGCTCAACATACCCGAAATTCAATATTAAGATGTATTAACAGTGGAAAATTTCAACAGAACTCACAAATTTTTGCACTCCTCTGAACGTGAGATAAAAAATGATAAACAAGAAAATAATTTAAATCCCCCGGAGCACGACTGACAATTTTGCGGTGTTTGCTCTCTGAGTCTAAAAAAAAAAATAGCAACAAAAGAAACGCGTCGGCGCTGGGGTTGAATTACAAATAGTAGGAAGAGGGCATCGTCTAAATAATCGTGCCATGAACGTGGGGACTTATCAACCGCCTATGCCAGAAACACTAACTCGAATAGCATCAAACACAAATACGAGTACTCAGAAAAGAATTTCAAAGCAAACTTGTTTGCTCAACTTGTCGCATGGAGTTCAATACACTCGCCGGCATTCGGTCGATTTGCGGTGTTTTGAACTCAATATTAAATATGTATTTTGAGAGATTGATTAAATTATAAGCGTGGATGTGCGTGGGGGTGTAGACGTGCATTGACTCGAACAAGTTCAACAAAATTACTAGCAACCTTGCCACCACCTATTACTGCCAGATAGTGCCGCAGTGGGGCAGACGAAGAAGAGGAATAATACTTATTATGATGTTTTTTTTTGGCACTTTTTATCTAATCGTCGAGTCGTTAGCTGCTAGCTCCACGGGCTAAGTCTCTGTTTAATCTTATCTGCCATAGCTAACTTATACGAGGACAAATAAAAACAGCAGCTGCTGGAAAAAGAAATGAAGCATTGTCATTATTATTGTGAACTTCAATGTCTTGGCAAAAATCGTCTAGAGACAGAGCACAATTGTGTCTTCTAATAGGGCTTTTACATTTCCAGTGATATTTGAACATTTAGTTAATGCGCAGAAAGACGCTTAACTAAAAAAACATTGGGAGCACTTCCACAGAACTTCCATTGCAACTTAATTGCTTTCTTTCATTGTTTTTACGTTTCATTTCTACAAAATGCTATTTGCACCGTCAACACTCTGGAATGTGCTGGGCAAATATTATTTGATAAAATGTATATACATACACATGTGTTTGTGTGAATAAAATATATTTGCAAATGAAGCTCGAAATAAGACTCAAAATCATGTCTATTGCGCTCACTACGAGCAGTAATAATATGGCCATATTGGCCCGATTGCGTGCGCTCTTCTCGTCACTCTCTTCAGTCGCCGACGACCTTGTGCCAGCCAACGACCTTCACATCCTGTGCTCAAATTAAAGCGGAAGTAAAACGAACACTCAACAAAAACAGAACGTTTATGTACATACATACATACATATATATATATATAGTCGTACATATACCTGCGTACATATAAATGTTTGGGCACGGGTATTTGCGGGGCACAATAAGCGACCGAACTGTTGACATGCCTGCCCAAAAAAATGAGAAGATGTTGATGGGTTGAGTTATGGCAGCAGGCAAGAAAGGTGAGCGTTCCACCAGATCGTGGTAGAGATGGGCGCGTGATAAAAATAAAAAGCAAAAAACAAAGATATGAATGAAATAAATGAAATCCAACATTTGGTGGATCATGTTTTTTCTCTTGTTGGAAAATATAAGTTTAATAATTAAACTTAATTAATTAATTAAATTGTTTGTATTTACATATATAGTATGTAGGTAATTCTTTCTCACCTTCGGTAATTTGAAATATTTTCATGTAACTAATTCTATACTAATGAACAGGAAAATTGATTTTCTCTCACAACAATATCTTTATACCAAATTGATAGAATAAATATTCAAAAATTTACACATTTTTCTGGAGTCGTCCCTTGTGCATCTCCTGATTCTGCACGCATTCACGCACACCTCTAGTTCGTGCACTCAATTGTCAAATCTATACTTGTGTGTTTTTCGACGGGGGTGTTGATACTAAGAAGCGCGCTTGGGAATTTTGTTGCAACAAGCCAAGCGCAGTGAGTGGCACGACGGCAACCTCAGCTCCATGCAGCACTAAAGAAGACGTTGAACTTGCAGCCAGAGCTGCAATTTTTCTTTTTATTATTGCCATTGTTGCTGTTTTTGTTGTTGTTGTTGGTAGCTGGCCTGCTGTTTGTTGTTGCCACAACTACTTACAACTGGCATGCCCTTTTGGGCCGTTGTGCTGTGATTTTTTGCGGAAACACAGCGAGCGAATTAAATTTAATTGTAAATTTATGCGTCTTGTTGTGTGAATCAGCCAAGAGGCAGCAACCAACAGCTCATAGCCATGCGATCTTCACCTCTGTATATTATGTATATACGTATGTATACTACAAGTATGTGTGTGTATGTATAGCATGGCTCACTGTGTGTGAGAATTGACAAACACATAATGAGCCGGAGCTAACAAGATTCTATCTCAGACTTAGAGGCAAATGCAAACACCTAGGCGGGCATTGGCGCAGGTAATCATAACTTGGCTGGCAGGTAACAGTTTCATTCATTGCTCGTTGTTATTGTAGTCATTGTATGTATTTTAGTTGTAGCTGCAGTTGTGTTGTTGTCAAACACTTTAGTATGCTTGTTAGCGACTGACACTCACTCATGTGGCTACAACAATTTTCTAGAATTTATTACAACTTCAGTTGAATTTCACAGCCATTGCCAGCATGTCGCATTTTTGTCGGTATACTAGAGTAAGTCTGTTTCTATATCTGTTCTTGTATCTGTATCTCGGCACTTTACATCTACAAGAATTTTTACCTTCGGCCGCTACCTTTGCCGCTCTTCATTCTGACACTTTGAAAACTCTTTTGAGCACCTATGGCGGCCACCTACGCACAACCTTTTACACTCACAGATAGTGTGCGATGATAACAAGATAATACGGTCCTACTTCGCTACAAAGATTGACATTGAATTGAAATAAATTATTCACTGCAGTGAAATATTAGGGATACTCCTGAGTGCTGTGAAGGATCTAGTTTTTGGTATATTGTGTATACATACTATTCTCTTAAAGATCAGCTGGGGGAAGGACTTTGATCGATTATTTTAGTGTATTTAAGAAAAAAATTGATTAACTTAGGTGCTAACCTTCAGGATGCTTCCTCATTATCCCCTACTTTCCGAAGAAGATGAGAACATATAAAAGAAATGACACTTCAGATAAAAATAAACAATACTTTATAGTCTGAAAACCGGCTAATCAACTATTTTTATTTTATAACATTTTTAATCAAATTCCATCTAGAATAATAAAAGTGGGGAAAATAGTTCTTCTGCCTTCTAAATTATTTTTGTAACAGTGCCTTGTAGATATATGGAAACTTGGTAGCATCTTGCTCTTCTAGATTTCAAAACTTTTGCTTTGGAGAAACGGATAAACGGATAAATATTGGTGTAGTGATGCTTTACTGTAGTTGGCTTGTAGTTTATGTTAGTATGCTCAAGTATTCTGCGTTGATTGGTCGGCAATGCTGCCGTTATGGTAGCACAGCAACAACAACAGCAGCAATTCAGTTGCAGTCCAGCATACATACTCGTATATATGTATGTACATAGAAACACATATAAACTTGTTTTGAGGCTGTGCCCATTTCTTGGTGTTTTTCTTTGCCCATTTCTGCGGCGCCACTTTACATGTTTTCCGCATTTTTGCCTATAAAACTGTCATTTTGCATTTTGATGCCGGCAACCAGCGGCAATAATGATAATAATAATAATAACAAAAACTACAACAGTCGCAGCACACAACAACCACAACTAAGCGTGAAGCAAAAGTCGTACAAAATTCTGCCCAGGGCAGCAAAAGTGTCTAATTACGCTTCTGGCACAATACAAAATCACAAAATTAAAAAGCTATACTTGTACACAAACACACACTCAGGCACACACACTAAAACACACGTGTACATACATGTGCATGTCTGTATGTATATACGAGTATACCTTTAAGCGCAGCAGACATAACAATGACAAGTTGTACATTCGGTGTTTTTTTATTTTTTGAATTTTCTACAGTTTTGAGCCCAATAGTCCACTAATCGTTCCATTAAAGCCGCACGAAAATTAAATTTACAAAAAAAAAAAAAAAAAAAAAAAAAACGACAAATAGCTCAGGGCGCCACATTTAAAAAGCAGCTTCATTGTTGTTGTTGTTGTTGTTGTTGATATTATTGGTGGATATTGTGAGCGTCAGTGACGTCGACATCTGTCAGCTTTGTAGCTGGAAACACTTTTGCTAAGCTGCGTACGTCTGTCAAGCTCTCCAGAAGCTCAACTGCTCTGCAGCGGCCAGGGGCCATAATTAACAAAATGCTTTTCGGACAGTAGGAGCGGAGCTTTCACAGAAACTTCGCCCAGGCACAAAAATGCATGAAGGCAACGTCGATGGCATCGAATAAGAAAAGTTAGAAGAAGAAGAAGAAGCCGACAACGACGACTACTATATAGACGAGTGGGCAAAATAGTAAGACTTGCAATGTGCGGCAGGACCCGAAGATGTCAATGCACTCGAAATATTTCTTTCTAAGCTGCTGCTGCAGTCGCAGTCCCAGTGGAAAGGCAAAGGCGCAAAGGCAGACAACTAACTATATAGTAGATTTATCTGAGCCTCGTACTTTGCCCCCTAAACAAACAGGCTTCTCGTTGCAGGGTTTGTCAACTTACTGGCTGGATTGCTGACTAGCTCACTAGCTGACTGGATGGCAGAATCCAGTTTCCAACTGCTGCTAAGCTGCCAATGTTTCTGCCATTTGCAGTATTCAACTGCAGTTCCAGTTCTTGGGTGCGCAACGTAGTTCTAACTACATTGAACGTGCAAGTTTCTCGATTGCAGTCTCCAAGTACCGCACAGTGGTTCTAAATTGTAGTGATCGATCTAAACGTACAGTAGCCATAAGGGGAATACTTTCCGAACAACTTAAAAGCGAACAACTTTTAAACAAATTGAGCAATGTTTTTGAGTTTTTCCTGCTGTTTTAGAACAGAAGAATCTGTTATACAAAAAAAAATAGATTTCTATTTTGTTTTCTTTATCGCTGTTTCGAATAAAATGTCGTACATGTTCAGTTCTTCAAAGGAATGCTATCATGCTAAGTATAGTAATTCATTGAATTTATAGAGTGCATTTTTTAAATATACTTATTATTAAGTTGTAGACCACTATGGAGGGGCAGGCAACACATTTGTCTTGGGAACATACGATTAGCTGGTAATTATGCATATGAACACAGACAGTTTACGGCTGGTAAAGTGGCAATATAGAATTTGCATAAGCCGAAATGTCATTTGCGAAGCCTTACTTGCACACAAAGCGACGCCAATGACGCCCCATTAGAAACTCACGAGCCATTTGACATAAGATCAAATAAAAGTGACATTCCCCCCCTTATTCCCGACTGTTCGACTGCCCCGATCGCCTCTAAAACAGCCATAGCTGGCAGACAAATTGTGCAGCAGCTCGGCTACAGAGTCGAAGAAATAAAATTGTATAAAATATTTGCATAAAAGCTAGAGACGGAACTGCTTGGCAACATGTAAAACGCGTGGGCCACAAACTGGGCAGCAGCCGAATGGCAACAACAAACAACAACAAAAACTACAGCAACAACCAAAATGCAGGCAATAGTCAGCCAAGAGTGAATTGCATTTGAAAACTTGTTTATTGGCTTAGGCGGTGGCAGTGGCAGCCTCACCAGCCTCAGCAGCCTCAGCAGCAGTAGCTGCAGCAGCAGAAGCGCAAACACACGTCAGTCAGCTTAGTTTGTGGCTTGGGTCAATGTTATGTAAACCTGGTTCACTTTTTTCTCAAATATTGTTTACAATTTGTGTTACATGCCGGGTGGCGGGGAGTAGGGGCTGACAGATATTACAAAAAATAAAATGCCTAAATAGCTAAACAAATATTTACAACAACAATAGCAATAAAAATCGATCGAACGCCACTCATTTTACATTTTTTCTCTCTCTCTCTCTTCTCTTCTTTTCTTCAGCTGCTTTTTGCTGCATTCCTCAGATGCGCGAGGGCCGATAAGGGGGAAAAATAGTGCAACAACAACCCAAAGCGAATGAGTTAATAATTTGAACGGCAGCATAAATTACAACAAAGCAAGCCGATTGCAGAAAGCATTGGCCGTTCGACGCGACCGCGACCCACGCGGCGTATGCGCAACACGGCACCAGCGACAACAGCAGCAGAAATGTCCAATTTGTAAACGAAAATTGTCATATTACAAATCTCGCGCGAAATTAAAATAATTTTACGAAAATTGAAGCGACAGAAATGCCCTTATTTTTTTAAAAGTCAGTTTGTGGTTGCGTAACATCCCGGGCGAGATAAAAATCGTTTAGAGCCACTCGAAATTAGTTCAAATTATAATTATTTGTATGACAACGTGCGAAAAGCAGAAACAGCAGCAACAATAACACAAGTGACACGCAATTTTAAAGCTAGATCTATTTTTTATTGTATCTTATAATGTGCGTTAATTTTTTAATACCATTCATTCTTCCATTCCCTTAATGCAGCCGGTCCCAAAATGCGTTGAAACAAAGGCTGCGTTGTGTGAAAAGTGTTTTGTAAAGTAGTGAGCAGTGAATGCAAGGTATTAAAACAGTTATTTCATAATCGCAATAGCAACTACTATTATTGTTGTTATAACAAAAGGTGGCAAAAGGAAGAAGAATACAAAACAAGAAACAAAAAATAGCAAGCAGGCGGCCATAAATACATAATAATACAAATAAAAAGGAAAAAACAAAAGCAAGAGCAAGAGCAAGAGGCCGACAATACAGTAATAATAATAACAACAATTAAATAAAATGCGAAATCATAAAGAAAGCGGAAATCGCCAGCAATTCGTTCGCATGCAAGGGCCAGCTATGGAGGCAATGGCACTCGAAACGTCAGCGACAACCTCAAAATCGGCTATAGCAGCAACAACAGCAGCAGCAGCAGTAGCAGCAGCAGCAGCCACAATAGCAACAACAAGAATATCACCCATAATGGCGACATCAATGATGCCCAACGCACTTGAGGCAAATGCAACAAAAACTCTGCCTGTTAAAGTGGAGCCCACAACAGCCGCAACAATCGCAACAACAGCAACTGTTGCCACAAGCATGCTGGACAACAATAATGACAATACCAATGGCAACAGCAACAGCATCAGCAACAGCCACAGCAAAACCAACAACAACAATAATATTAACAATAACATGGCAACATTGCAGGCTGACAAAGCAACAAAACTCATGCCACTGCCACACAAATCCTCCACAATTTCCGCTGCCAAGGATAACAACGGCAACCAAAACAGCAACAGCAACAACAACGCACTCGCCTACTTGCCACCACGCCGCCATCAATTCACGCCCATGTCCGATGCGAGCAATGCGAGCTTCAGTTCCGCATCGGTCGCCGGTTCCATACAGGTAAGCCAAAAAAAAAAAATATATATATAAAAAAATCAAACTTTAAACTCAAACAAACATTGTCAAGATTTTTAGTTTTAACCGGTTTGCTGCCGGCCGCGAATCTGTATCTATATCTGACTGTGGCTCTGACTCTTCGACATTGAAGCAGCCCTGCTCTTACTCTTATTGTTGTTTCTTTTTCTTTTCTTGTGTCCGTCTGTTTTTATTATTCTTGTTAATAAATCCTCAAACGCGCAGAATTCCAATCAGCGGTCGCACCGACACGCTGACTCATGCAAAAAGCTTTGCCACCAACAATCGAGATATATGTGTGTATATGTACATATATGTATATAGTATAGTATGTATGAGTGTATAAAGTAAAGACTAAAGCCAACATGTTTAACAACTGTTGGCTGGATTGCGATTGTAAGATTTACATAAAGAAAAACAAAATGATATTGGCATGCAAAAATGCGGTCAAAAATTTTGGAGCCGACCCACGCATGGCCCCTATGGCGCATGCGCACAGCTGGTCCGGTGTCGTCGCTGTCACCGCTGCAGGTTCCTAATTGAATTATGACTTGACCTCCATTTGCATTTGCATTTGTTGTTGGAAACGCTGTTTTCGTTTTCGAATTCACCAGACTGTGTCACTCAGTCGCCGAACGGTACCAATAATGGTCGACTGGACGATGTGTCATGCCACTTGAGGGTGCAGAATCCAGTTGGAGTTTCGATTCCTATTTCCCCTTTTTATCGGGGATTTCAAACTAAATGCGTTTCTATATTTTTTCTCACTCAAAATTCATTTTTAACAAACATGGCGCTTTATCAAAAACATCGCTTCAATCAAATCGTTGTGTCATTGATAAGAAAAACTCTCGGCTGTATTTCCTTTTCCACAATAAAGCCAGATTAGTTAATGATTTCTCAATAAAAACCAATAAATTAATAAATTTAACAACAAGTATGAACAGCTGTGATATAGGATATCAGCGAAACGAAAGCATTTGCAAAATTTGAGAACAATTCGAAGAAGTTCTCAAAATTGAAATTGTTGATGGAGTGTGTATCCTCAGAGTAATGAAGCAAGCAGAGTTTTTACTGTACAATTATTATAATTGTACCAGAACCTCTGTCCAAATATTTATTTTTATTATTGTTTCACAAAATTTGGAGCATCATCTCGAGCTACTACTCGTAGAGCACTTTTTTTTCTCCACGCTTGCATTCCATTTTTCTTTTTTGCCGCGTCTTTTCGAACTTTTCTTCTTCTATTCGTATAAGAATGTTCTGGGTCCGTAAACCATTTGCCTTTGCGGCATCGTGAGCGTAACAAAAGCTTTTGAAAGCGATTTGACTATGGCGGCTATGTAAGCCACCAGCAATGCCATTGAAAATGGATTGCTTTACGTCTAAATGCAAAATAATTTACCAAATTAACGGTACCATTATCAACAGCGACGATCCGATCAATCAAAGTGAATCCGATCAATTAAATGTTGCCTCTAAACGGCACGAAAGATCATGGAAAGAAAAGAGATTATGAACGAACATTGTTGCTGTTGCTGCGGTTGTTGTTGTTTAGCAGAAGAATTACAAAGAAGTTGAACAGTCAAAGAACAAAGTTATAAATGTGTAGAGAATGTCGGGCATGTCAGTGGAAATAAAGGAAGGTGGCAGTTGCTGTGTGAATTGGAACAGCGGAATCGCTGCTTGACCTTATCAGTTTGCCTGGGAAGGGGGAGTGGGGCAACGTAGTAGTTTGCCGTTTTGGGCTATTTTATTGTGAGGCGTTGATTAATCATTGATGATATGTGCGTGTACAAGCAGGAAAAAATGGATCGAAACATTTTGAAATTTTGCTTTCCTTCCTTTAAAAAACTATAATCTAAAATCTAATGCGAAATCCAAATCCATCCGGTTATAATATGAATTATCAAATAAGGTATGGCAGGGACCCTCGAATTCTACATTTTCAGTATCAACACTTAAATTGATATGAAATATAAGACTTATATTAAAAGTTATAGTAAAGCATATATTATTCATTCAATTACGAAAAATATGAATGACTTCGGTTTATAAACAAAAGTTTATATTTTCAATATTTATTATGATAAGTTCTTATTAATTTATTTGCTATTGATGTTGCTAGAATGAAATATTTTTTTTTGAGTGCATATACATATATTTATTTGTGTTAATAATTCAGTGTTTTGTTTGTGCAGTCGCTTGTCTTGTTCTGCGGATTTGTATCTTTTGGGTTGGGATGGCCGCAAGCGTTGTTTTGGCTTAGAAACGCAAAACTGAAGGAGAATGCGTTCTGTTCTGCCTCTTTCTCTGAGTCTGCTTGTTCCCTTGTCTTCTGTGGTCTGTCTTCAAACGGCTGCCATCAAAGGTTGTTGAACTGTTGGTGTCTCTGTTCGAGGGGGGCACAGCACCTAGCGCAAATACTGATGTGACCGCCGCTGGTTTTATTTATAACATTTCATACCGTTCGACCAGCGAGAGCAAGAGACTCATGACCGGCTTGCTTCTGCTTCTGCTTTGGATTCTGCTGACTGGTCAAACGTTAATTACGGGCTGTGTCGAGCTGTCGCTTCTTCGCGCACTCTGGGCACGCTTTAGTTCCAGTTATAAAACGCTGGCCCATTGATACACGCCGGCCACTTCGTTGGGCGGAATTGCTTGCCTATGGCCAGGAAAATATGTTGGGTCTGTGCCAGCTTAGAACAAGTTTGGCGCTGAAATCTTTCGCTTTGCGGCGATTAGTCACATTCCACTTGGCATGCTTGTGGGCGTGGCAACAGCAGCATGCACGTCTATTTATAGCCAAGCTTTTCTATTTGCCAGATACTTACAATATGCAAAATGCAAGCAGCTGACAAAGATGATGACGACGACGACGACCACCACTTTGAAACTTAGACTACAATCAATTTAATAGCTTGCTACTTAAACAGCTGGAGTTACAGTCTGAGGCCGGTTGTTGGAAACGCTTGGCCAAATCTCTGCTGCCCATTTGCTTGGGCTTGACGAAGGTCACTTTACGTTTTGGCTTTAGATGAATGCGCATATTTCTAAAGAAAAATATTATGGTTTGGTTTGTAAAGGTTTTCTTTTGCCTCATTTCGTTTTCTGTTGAATCAGCCAAAGTACTTGATGTTGAAATTGAAATTTATGTAAAGTTGAAGAGAGTCGTTGTGCAGTAGGTAGGGCCGGTCGGCTGTTGATGACGACCCTGCACCTCAAGTGCTCACTGAAGTGGCCATTCGGCATGTAGCAACTACGACTGTTACTATTACTATGACTTTGACTGTTCCAGGGACAGAGACAGGGGCAGGGACGCTCAAGTGCAGTAGCCAACGCAGTCTCGGTCGCACTGAATGTGGCCAAGAAGAGACCAGCAGGTATGACTTGACCGGGCCAACTTTAGTTGCAGTTGTTGCCATTAACTTGTAGTAAGCACAGCATAATCACAGCGCATTTCCGTACGCTTTCGTTTCAATGCGGAAATGAGCGCATATTTCTCCAAGAAAGTTGCGCAATTAGGGCGACTCTGCGTCCGTCGATTGTTCTCGCGGATGCTTTGTTAGTGTGTTTTTTAACAATCATTTTTGTTTTCTCCTTTTTCATGATATTAACGTCAAATAGGTCAGATAAGAGCAAATTTCTTAATCAAAAGCGTACATAATCGACTCTTATTACTATTTTTTTTTTTTTTTTTTTTTTTTTTTGCCAATTTCTACTAATTGACTTGCAATTATTGGGTGCCCTAAATCAGCAGTGATAACTGGTTCCAATATTGTATCTGTGAAGTGTATTCGATATTGTTTCATTATTGAAGCTGCACTTATTTCTATTTTCTAATTTCTGTTTACTAAACGGAATCAAAATTGTGTGTTGGGTTCAATTCGACGAAATGAGGTAGTTCTTCATAAAACACGCAAGTTTTTTCGGATACTCGTATATATAAATTGAAGAAAAATAAATCTAATTTATTAGATTTTTAAAAGATTAAAAGATACATAAATAGGTTTTTAAATAAGGTAGTGCAGATTGCTACTTTCTAACCTTCACAAATTTTAAATATTCTTTTGTTAAACATATTTTATCTATTGTTATTATACGTGTATGATATGAGACAGTTCTAACGACAGCGATGGCTGAAGCTTCGCTTTTTGCGAGCATTTGAGACGATGCTTCCTTTTCACAAGCGTAGAGTCTACAATCACATTGGCTTTTCCTTTTTAAGCATTATTCGCTACTCCACCTTTTCCCCTTCAAAAAGGCATTTATTACTAAGATAGTGAAGGGTATTATAACTTTGAAGAACTGTAAAATATCATTTCATTTCCATTTCTCTTGCCAACTCTTGCAGACGCTCTACCCTAGCCAATGCTTAAAGTTTTCTAATTCAGCGCTCGAGTTGCCTGTCGAACTCGTTTCTCGTACGAGTCTCGAGTCTTGAGTATACGAGTATACTGAGAAGCGGGCGCGCTCGGCCGCAATTAATTAATGCTCTTGGCATGCGGTCGGTCGCAACAAAAACAACATAGCAACAAAACAACAACGACAGTAGCAACATCAACAACATCTTTAAGATGCGGCCGCTCTTTGGCAACAATGCCAATGCCAGCGCAGCGCTAAATTCTAGCCAGATTCTTGCTAAATTGTTTTACCGTCTTTGAACTCGCACCGGCGGCAGCGGCGTGGCATTCTTTTTGCTGCCTGCCACAACACCGTGAGATCCGCTCCAACTCGAGCTGGATAATAGTTTGCATAGCTGGGCATTTTTAAGCAGAAATTATAGCAAATAATTGCCGGTGGAGTAATTTTTTCGTCGTAACTCGGGGCAGGCGACAGGTGTGTGCCTTCGTAGCGACAGATGCAAAGTTCATTAAATGAAATTAAATTAAATGCAATGACGGCGTCGACGACGACCACAAGGCGACGATACGCAGTAAAAATTTCACCTTTGTCGGTTGAAACAAATTTAGAAAAAGCTCGTA